ACACCCCTCAAAGATGGGGGTGCGAGGGTCACCACGAGAGGCTCCTACAGCGACGATGCTCTTCTCCGCCGCAAGGAGGGACTTCTCGAGGAGGTCGACAGTGAGAGTGGTGGGACAGACTGAGAGGAAGTGGTCCCTGACTACGCGAAGGGAGTCAGGGAGGCGTGTGACTATGTAATAGAGAGTGATGTACATGGGGGGGGGGTTCTTGGCGCAGAACTCAGCAGGAAGGGCGGCGCGGTAGCGAGTGTCACTAGTGCGGAGGTGCGTAATGAGGTCAGCGACAGTGGGAAAGGCAGCAAGGTCAGGAAAGAGGTACGGTAGCATGAGGCGGCTCAGGGCAGCAGTGGCAGGGGAAGAGTAGCGCGCAACTACAGCGTCGTACAAGGTCTGAGCACTCTTGTACTGACTAAAGTGCGCGCGCTCAGTGGTAGGCAGGTGGCGACGCACAGCAAGACGTGCAGCAGCATCGCGGGTGGCCCACTGAGAGCGAACAGTGGGGTCAGCATCAGCAGCAGGGGCAGGAGAGGCGCCAGAGGTGAGGTCAAAGAGGGAAAGACCGTCCGCCCTATCGCACTGTAAGAACAGCTGCAGGTCGTCGACCCAGACCTCAAAGTCAATGGCTCGACCCTCAGCGTCAAAAGCGAGGACACTAGGGGTAGCCATGACGACGACAGTGTAGTAGTGCAAGCAGTAGGGGAAGGGCACGCAGTAACAGTGGTGCTGTGCTCACCAGGCAGGGCAGGTCGGGCGGCTCGGCAGTAGGGCGGCCCGGCAGCTGGGCGGCTCGGCGGCTCGGCTGCTGGGCGGCTCGGCTCCCGGGCGGCTCGGCGGCAGGGCGGCTCGACGGCAGGGCGGCTCGGCGGCAGGGCGGCTCGGCGGCTCGGCTCCCGGGCGGCTCGGCGGCAGGGCGGCTCGGCGGCAGGGCGGCTCGGCTCCCGGGCGGCTCGGCTGCAGGGCAGCTCGACGGCTGGGCGGCTCGGCTGCTCTGCTGCTGGGCGGCTCGGCTGCGCTGCTGCTGGGCGGCTCGGCCGCTGTAGAGGAGTGGCGGGGCCGCTGCAGAGAAGGGCGGGGGGGCCGCTTGATAGGGCGGCGGGGCCGCTGATGGGGCGGCGGGGCCACGAGGAAGGGCGGCGGGGCCGCGCGATGGGGCGGCGGGGCCGCGAGGAAGGGCGACGGGGCCGCTAGATAGGGCGGCGGTGCCGCGCGATGGGGCGGCGGGGCCGCGAGGAAGGGCGGCGGGGCCGCTAGGTAGGGCGGCGGGGCCTCGCGATGGGGCGGCGAGGCCGCGAGGTAGGGCGGCGGGGCCGCGCAATGGGGCGGCGAGGCCGCGAGTAAGGGCGGCGGGGCCGCTAGGTAGGGCGGCGGGGCCGCGCAATAGGGCGGCGAGGCCGCGAGGTAGGGCGGCGGGGCCGCTAGGTAGGGCGGCGGGGCCGCTAGGAGAGAGGCGGCGGGGCCGCGAAGACGGGCGGCGGGGCCGCTGAGACGAGTGGCGGGGCCGCAGTGAAGGGCCGCTAGGGCGGCTCGACGAAGTGAGGGCCCGGAGCGCGACTCGGGCTGAGCGCGCTTCGGGCAGGAAAAAAAAAAATCGATGTGGTGGGCCCTAAGCACAGTTCCCAAGGGGGGAACCTGCTCGATACCATGAGAAGATTTGAACAAGGATGAATGAACTATGAATGAAGTGAGTACATATAGGAAACCCTAATTGGGTTGTACCCCCTATGAGATACCCCACTATAGCCTACACAACAGCATAAGCTATATATATGTTCTGACAGTTATTGCATATTCGAGTGGCTCATGTTCAAATGCACCTATTAGAACCTTTTTGACTTGGTTCTTGCGCAAAGAAAAGTTCGGCGCTTACGATTTCGACTGTTTTTGCCGACAAAAGCATAGGAAGCGCATGGATTCCTATAGGCGTAGGGAAAAGCATTCAACAACCTGAATGTTATTGCATATTCGAGGGGCTCACGTTCATATGCACCTTTTAGAGCCTTTTCGGCTTGGTTCTTGCGCAAAGAAAAGTTCGGCGCCTACGATTTCGGCTGTTTTTGCCGACAAATGCCTAGGAAGCGCATGAATCCCTATAGGCGTCGGGAAAAGCATTCAACAACCTGAAGATTACTGCATATTCGAGTGGCTCATGTTCAAATGCACTTATTATAGCCTTTTCCGCTTAGTTCTTGCGTAAAGAAAAGTTTGGCACCTACGATTTCTGTTGTTTTTGCCGACAAATGCCTAGGAAGCGCATGAATCCCTATAGGCGTAGGGAAAAGCATTCAACAATCTGAATGTTCATGCATATTCAAGTGGCTCATGTTCAAATGCACCTATTAGAGCTTTTTTGACTTGGTTCTTGCGCAAAGAAAAAGTTCGGCGCCTACGATTTCTGTTGTTTTTGCCGACTAATGCCTAGGAAGCGCATAAATCCCTATACGCGTAGGGAAAAGCATTCAACAACCTGAATGTTCATGCATATTTGAGTGGCTCATGTTCAAATGCACCTATTAGAGCCTTTTCGGCTTGGTTCTTGCGCAAAGAAAAGTTCGGCGCCTACGATTTCGACTGTTTTTGCTGACAAATGCCTAGGAAGCGCATGAATCCCTATAGGCGTAGGGAAAGAATTCAACAACCTGCATGTTACAGCATATTCGAGTGGCTCATGTTCAAATGCACCTATTAGAACCTTTTAGGCTTGGTTCTTGCGCAAAGAAAAGTTCGGCGCCTACGAGTTCGGCTGTTTTGCCGACAAATGCCTATGAAGCGCATGAATCCCTATAGGCGTCGGGAAAAGCATTCAACAGTCTGAAGATTACTGCATATTCGAGTGGCTCATGCTCAAATGCACCTATTAGAGCCTTTTAGGCTTGTTTTTTGCGCAAAGAAAAGTTCGGCGCCTACGAGTTCGGCTTAATTTGCGGACAAATGCCTAAGAAGCGCATGAATCCTTATAGGCGTAGGAAAAAGCATTCAACAACCTGAATGCTAATGCATATTCGAGTGGTTCATGCTCAAATGCACCTATTAGAGCCTTTTCGGCTTGGTTTTTGTGTCAGATTTATATGACATAGATCTGTTGATATATGTGGATATCTGTGCATAGATATCTGTGGATATCTATAGATATCTGTGGATATCTGTGCATAGATATATGTGAATATCTGTGCATATATATCTGTGGATATCTGTGCATAGATATCTGTGGATATCTGTGGATATCTGTGCATAGATATCTGTTGAGATCTTTGGATATATGTGCATTGATATCTGTGGATATCTGTAAATTTACATGTTTTAGTACTGTTGCTCCTAAGTGGGTTTCATACGCAGTTTATAAATGCTCTATCAAATTCTCTACAACAATATACGCTGGACGGTGATGTCCGGGTCAAATGATGTCGTGAAAATTCGAACCTTGCAATGATGTCACGAATTGCGGTACGCCAGGCCAGGTCATCACACACAACACTTCCTCTAGCACTCCGCATTCGCCGCCACACAGCCAAGTCGCATCGATTGCCATGTACGAACCCTGGATCCAGTTCTTTCAGATTTGAAAGCATCGACGGTCGATAATTACAATTCACGACCCAGCCCTGGATATGCTCAACTATTGGCTGTGTGCTACCTTGTCACGTTTCGCTATTGACAGAGGGCCACGTCAGCCAGAAATGCGTCAAACATTTCAACCAGCCCCTAATCAGCTGGAGCGCATTCAAGCAAAATCCGCGACACGGGACTTCGTGCTTGAACGTCCCACATCAGCCCGCAACCCGGCGGGCACTTCAGCCCCTCAATTCACCTGGGCGCTGATTTCCTCTCTCAAATCGCCCCTTGTACGCACCGCTACACACAGTCGGCTCCCTCCCAGGGCTGGGAGACGCTGGAAGTCCTGCCTCCATTTGTCCTTGCCATGTCGGTTGGTAGGCTCCTGAAGACACCAGTAGAAGACTGCTGGAACATACCACTGGGTCGCGGGCCGCGATACAATAAACCAGACCATTCCGGGACAGGCTGGTGCTGGAGGTAGGGTGCTCGAGCCGACTTAGTATGGCACGACGAAAAGCCAGTGACTGTCAGCACAGATCTTGAGGAGCTCCGGAGCGTTGACTCTGTGCCGGTTGCGCAGTGAAATCATGTTTGGTTTCCGTAAATACTCGAACTAGGTTGCGTTGGCCCCTCCCTGCAATCGTCTCGTCAACATATCGAGGAGAGTTGAGGAGGTGGTGAGGTGAAAGGAAGCCTCGAGTTGAGCAAAAGGAAGGGCTAGGAGAGGCGAGGCGTGCGAGGAGGGGCAAGGAAGGGCGAGGAGGGGCGTAGAGGAGCGTAGAGGGGCGAGGAAAGGTGCGAAGAGGCCCGGAGGGGTAAGATGCTAGCGCAGCTAGCGATAGAGAGACGGCGGGTGGCGCGAGAACGACCGGCGCAATGGCGACCATTGTTCAGGCTGTGCTTGTGCTTGGCCTTCGCCCTCTTGCTCGTAGGTCTCGCAAAAGCTTCTATTAGCGGCGCGAAAAGCATTCAAAAGAGCAGCGGTAAGAGCGGAAAGGTTAGCGGTAAGGCGAGCGGTGCAAAGGGGAGTTCGACAGGCAAGGTCAAGGCGAGCGCGAATGTCGCCGGGATACCAGGAAACGACGGGATCGCGCGGCTCGTTCTGCTTCATAACAACTCCTTCGGCGCGAAATGCCTCGACGGCAGGTGCGGATATTTTTGCACGTAGGTTTAACGATCGGTCGTCTTTATAACCAGTCTGACCTCGTTAAATGCGTCGATTCGGAACTTTTGACAGAAAGAAAGAGAGAGAGAAAAAACATTTGAGTGCAGACTCCGGCCATTGTCGCGCTTCTGGTAGAAACCCAGTAAAAACTCGATTCCGGAGCAGTTCGTTCTGCAGTCGCGATTCCCCTGGTACAATGACTCGAACGCCCCTCCCTGCAGCCCTCCGGGGTACTACCGCCGCGTGCCCTTATAATATCGGTTGTTGCCCTTTCCTGAGCGCCATGGTTGCTGAACGGTCGAGTGTATTGTTGCGGTTTCCCCTTACCCCACACCCTCCCCGCAGCCCGCCTGGGTACTACCGCCGCGTGGGGTACGGCAGCGGAGCCAAGTCGTGGCACATCCACTTCCCGGGCGGCGGATGGTGTGCAACGCGCGACGAGTGTGCGGCCCGTGCGACGACGTTTCTCGGCTCGACGAAGTACATGCCGCGATCTTCGCAGGTGAGTGGGACTGACGCGCGAGAGAGTGGCTGCAGCGGAGGGCGCGCACACTAGAAGGTGCGCAACGTAACAAAGGGGGGGCGAATAGTAGAATCCCACGTTCCTCATTACGTTCTGACTGATACGAGGGGCTCAGATTTCCCAGAGTAATGCGGCAGCGTCCTACGAATCTCCCCCTTTCGTTCCTCCAGGGTTCATGGGTGGGTGAGCAGCTCACAGGAATTTTATCTGCCCGGCAGCCGGAGAACAGGCTGTTTTACAACTGGAATCTTGCGCTCCTCGCGTATTGCGATGGGGGGGGCTACGCGGGCAGCGCGGGGAAGGTCGCCGTGAACGGCAACGGGAAAGGCGCGGCGCTGTTCATGCAGGGGGACGCGATCGTTAAAGCCGTGCTACGTGGTAAGCGTGCTACTAGTTAGTGAGTTTTGGAGTAAGTTTCATCATAGCTGCGTGTGTGGCGCAGAGCGTGTTTGTCACTAATATGATGGAGGGTACGAACGGACGTGCTCGTCCCGTGTATCGCTGTTGCGTACGAACGGACGTGCTCGTCCCGTGTATCGCTGTTGCGTACGAACGGACGTGCTCGTCCCGTGTATCGCTGTTGCGTACGAACGGACGTGCTCGTCCCGTGTATCGCTGTTGCGTACGAACGGACGTGCTCGTCCCGTGTATCGCTGTTGCGTGCGAACGGACGTGCTCGTCCCGTGCGCTTAACATGGTGGGGAAGAGCCAACATGCTTGTCCCGTGTATCGCTGTTGCGTGGGGTGAATTGGGGTGTTAGATCCAACATAGCTGCGTGTGAGGTGTAGAGTGTGCATCCCTGCCGGGTGAAAGCCAGCTGATGTTCACCCAGCAGGATGCAGTAAATCCTGCAGGGTGTGACATTCAGCACCCCCTTCCCCCACCCAGGTCCTTCTTCGCCTCTCTTTGTCCCACAACCCCATGTCTTTGTCTCCCTTCGACTCTCTCCCATTCTCTCCGTCTATCGTCGCTTCTCCCTTCTAGCCTCTCTCTTACCCTTTTCCTCTTCTCCCTTCTCCCTTCTCCCTTCTCCCCTCTCCCTTATTCCTCTCCCTTCTTCCTTCCTCTTTCTCCTTCTCCCTTCTCCCTACTCCCCTCTCCCTCCTTCCATCTCCTTTCTCCCCCTTCTCCTTCTCCTTCTCCCTCCTCCCTTCTCCCATCTCCTTTCTCCTTGCGCCCCTCTCCCTTTCTCCCTTCGCCCTTCGCCTCTCTCCCTTCTCCCTTCATCCTTCTCATCTCAGGCTTCCCCGTCCCGCGCCTTTGCGACTCCCTCCTCTCACCTTAATCGCCCTCCTCTCTGCTCCTTCTCCATTCCCCCTTCTCCCTTCTCCTTTCTCCTCTCCCCCTCCTCCTTTTTCCCTTCCACCTTCTTAAGTGTTCCCTTCTCCCGTCTTAATTCTTCCCTTCTCCCTTCGTAAATTTCCCTTATTCCTTCTCCCTTCTCCCTTCTCCCTTCTCCCTTCTCCCTTCTTCTTTCTCCCACTCCCTCTCCCACAAAAAGACCTCGACAGGACGCAGAGCGGCTTGGCGGCGGCGCCGCGAATCCTCATCTCAGGCTGCTCTGCGGGCGGCTTCCCTGTGACGCGCCTCTGCGACTCCGTGGCCGCCGCTCACCCCAAGGCCAACGTCAAGTGTCTCATCGACGGTGCATTCTTCCTAGGTGAGAGGTCAGCAGGGCACAGCAGGGTACACCGTCTCATATACGGCGCGCACTTCCTGAGTGAGAGAGCACATCACTGTAGAGCTCAAAGGCGTCTCACATTTCAGGCCTGGAGCTCCTCACCGGCCAAGCATATCTGTTCGCACGTTCATTGTGTTCAGCCCCTGCCTGCTTCTCTATCACCCATGCCTTCTTCTATCCGTTTCCCTTACAGACGCAAAAGACCGGCAAAACAATTTCACGTTCAGGTCATCGTTACAAAGTGTCGCCACCCTACATAAGTTCACCGACAGCAAATGCAGCGAAGGTAAGAATCAGCTGTTACAAAACCTTGCATTGCACAATGCGTTTATGTTCACAATGACCTATTTGTTCTGTTTTGTTTGTGCTTGAACATGCAGGTATGGAACCATGGAAGTGCATGCTTCCGGAATTCTCGCTGAAGGCAGTCTCAAGGCCATTATTCATCACCAATGCTCTATTTGACTACACCGCCCTTCAACTGTACAACCAGCTGCGGAACACCACATTTCAAGTCAACAACAGGTGCCTTCGACAGATTATATGGGAGCAAAACGACCTGCAAAAGGCTGTGGTTTCCAACCAATGGAAGCCATTCAATGCGAAGCCCGGGGAGTGTGATTCTACTTCCCGCGTTACAATACAGTCTACAGTCACGGATTTGTTCACGAAACTGAAGAGCACGGTGGGAAACCAGAAAAACATACTGGCTTTTATAGCGACGGATTGCGTGGGTCATTGCCTAACCACCACGTCTCAGTGGTTTAGCCCTCCACATAATAACACATACATGAAGGATGCCGTCGTCAGCTGGTTCAAGGGAAAACTTACAGGAGGAAAGCTCTACTTTTGATTTTGGTTTGGCAGGTTCTCTATGCAAGCTAGTATACGTTGTTAAGCGCATGTATCTGAAAGGGTAATAAGGGATGTATGCCCTAGTCATTATATGGTTGTACAATACTTATGGCATACAAACTTACCCTCCACGATACAATGTTTGGATGAGCTTGCATCCTCATTTCGCCTCATGCTAGTTTGCTATCGGGGACAATTCCGTCTTGAATGGAAACGGGGTTGCGTCGCGCGAATCCATATTCCCGCCATCCAAAGCGTACCGCGGGAATTACCGAGGAACCACGACACTCCTTGAAGCTGGTTGTGTGCCGGGCACTGCGCCAATTCTTTCGAGGTTCATCGCGAGTCGCAGTTCAAATTCATCTCTCGAGCCGCGGGTTGACCAACCCCCCCAGGGGCCCTCAATTCACAGAACAGCATTTTCGGAAACTGGAATCCCTGACGAAACCAGCGAAATGTCAACCTCGGGATGTCGATTCCCGCAATGCGAGCTCGCGAGATTATCGACGAAACAATTTCCAATGCGAACGATAGTGAGGGAGGCTCAGCAGAGGCGGCTTGGCGTTTGTTTCAAGCATCGAGGGTCAGCGGCCAAGTCGGTGAAGCTCCAACTCGCATCACCCGACCCAATCCAAGCGCGGGTCAATGAAACGCGATCAGCGTGAATCACCTGAAGCAGAGAAGCTGGGCGTGTGGCCGAAGTTTTCATATCATCGGCCACGCGCATACTTCCTCCCGCATGGCACATTCTAATCAAGACTATTCGGCACCACCACGCATAGCTCTTCCTGCTCCTATTGGCCATGCCTCCCCACCTCTCCCTCCCCACCGACGAGTTTTTGGCAGATGATTGAGCACATTACATACGGCGACCATTCGTCAAGATCACTCTCCTGTGTAGTCACATACCTTCGGTATCCGCGTTCGTTTAGATCTCATAGGCAAGCGATCTTGTCTTGCGCTACGGAGCCGTCGAAAGACCATAGGCTGCTTATCCACGCTCGATGTGGACGTGGTAACTACGCCGCTTTAGGCAATGCTGCTTCGCCTCACTATCTTTAAGCCCCTGAAGCCTCTAGAACTAGGTGCTCCGAATACCCGTAGAGTCAATCCGTTGCTTATCTTCACGATCTAGTAGCCTCTTATACTTACACTGAATGCAATCCGGAAAACCCTTGGAGATGGCAGCAGCAGCAGCAGCATCAGCAGCCTGTTTAGTCGTGGCGCTTCTAGCGCAAGTATCAGCAGCTGCCGAGTCTGCGAGTGCATCGTCGATGGGTCCGATCCCGTCGGGCGTTCCCAACACGAATCTCTACCTCTTGCCCAACAACGATCTCGGCGCGAAATGCCTTGACGGCAGGTGGGTCTAAGGACCGATCAGGACCGATCTGGAACGCGAGGCAGGTAAAGGCCCGCACTGTACGAATCGCGTGGGCCTATACTCGAGGGGAGCAATCCCGCTAGTTCGATGGTTAGATCTTCACAGCGAGCTCTCGGGCTACAGTTCTTTGATTCGACGACTGATTCTCTCTGCGGATGGATGAGTCTCTATGTGTCATGAGCGCATTCATAAAGCCCAGGATTGTCGGCTCTTACGTACACCAATCGATGCAGTGTTGCGTCGTACTCACACCAGTGAGTGACCTTTTGTGAGCACGAAGGAAAGGTTGTTCCTTCTCTAGCGTGAACGGCCTGTGAGATCTAAATGAACGCAAAGGAGAAACCTCCGTCCACCCCGCTTCCCCTCTCTCCATCCCGGCGCCCCCTCCCCCCCTCCCGCCTTCCGCCGCGCAGTCCCCCCGGTTACTACTTCCGGGCGGGCAGCGGCAGCGGGGCCAAGGCGTGGCACATCCACCTGCCGATCGGCGGGTGGTGCGCGACCATGGAGGACTGCGCGGACCGCGGGAAGACGCCGCTGGGGAGCACGCGCATGCAGGCGGACAAGAACTGGCGCTGGTCCAAGTTTCTCAGCAAGGGGATGATGAGCCCGCTCGCGAAGACTAATCCGCTGTTCTTTAATTGGAATTATGTCATGCCCGTGTATTGCGACGGAGGGGGTTTTCAAGGGAAGGCGGGGTTGAGATCGGTGCAGGGCGGTCCGTCGCTGTACCTCGACGGCCGGAAGGTTCTCCGTGCGATTCTTAGAGGTGAGGAACCGAAGTTTGTGTGATTTTGTTTGCATTCTACGCACGTGTACTGGAATCATCAGGTGTGTCGCGAGTGGGTTAGAGAGAATCTTTCTGTCAAGGATGCGGATATGCACGGATGGGCCGTTTGATATTGCGGATGGTTTCATGCTTCATCCCTCAAACTCACTTCTCCGCCTTTCCTCCTTCCTTCTTCCATACCCCGTCTTTCCGTTTCCACGCCCTTCCATTGCCCCCTCTCCCGTTCCCGGCGTCCGCCTCGCTGACAGATGTCCTGGCGACACGTGGCATGTCGTCAGCCACTGAGGTGCTTATATCGGGAGCATCCGCGGGCGCGCAGGCAGTGACGACCTTTTGTGACTTCATCGCGGCGCAGCTGCCGGGAGCCACCACCAAATGCCTCATGGACTCGGGCGTGTTTATCGGTAAGCCTACGGTTCAGCACAGCGATTTAAGGCGCCTTTTGTGACTATCGCGAGCTCTCACTTGTTCTCTCACTGGTCCACACCCCTGCACAGCAACACCTTTAACTTCCTCCCAATTTCCTCCCTTCCTCCCGGCCCTCCGCTTTCTCCTTCCGCCCCCCCACTCGCCCCCCGCCGCCATCCGCCTCGCTCCTTCCCCCCCGACCTGCGGCGCTAACAGATGCGCGCGACCGCAAGGGCGGGCGGAGATTCCGCTCAGTGGCGCAGAAGCTGGTGGCGATACACCAGTTCCAGGGGAGCGACCGCTGCAGCGCAGGTGACCGCTTTCCGCTTCCCCACTCTAACTTCCCCCTGTCCCTCCATATTCCTTTCCCCTGCTCAGTCCCGTTCCTTCTGTTCCTTGCTGTTCCTCCTTCATTGGGCCTTTCGCTCATTCAAGCTCGCAGACACTTGAATTGTCAAGCATGCTTCCCCTCTCCGCTCTTACATGCTTCTCCCTACGCGCTCTCCTCTCCGCCCTCACTTTTCCATCCCATCCCTCTCATTCCTCCTCAATCCTCCGGTCCAACCATTCCCATCCAGATCACAACTCCAGCACTCCCCATCCTGCATAACAAACTCCCTTCCATCATTGTCTCCCCCCTCCCCCCATCCCATCCAGAGCACAACTCCAGCACTCCTCATCTTTGCTAGCAAAGTCTCCTTACATCATCGTTTCCCCTATCTCACCCCCTGTTCCACTCACCCCATCCAGAGCACAACTTCCGCACTCCCCATCCTGCCTTACTAATTCCTGTCAGACCACCCTCTCCTGTCCCCCACTCCATCAATCCAGAGTACAACTCCAGCACCCAGTGGCGCTGCTTCTTCCCGCAGTACTCCCTGCGCTTCGTCTCCCGCCCCGTCTTCATCGCCAACTCGCTCTTCGACCGCCACGCCGCCGTGATTGGTAACCAGATGCCGCTCGATTTCACCTACGCTGACACGTGCCTGTCGGAGCTCCTCGCTCAGCCAATCACAGTCAGCCAGCTCCAGAGCAGCAACATGAGGAGTGTAATCCCGGTTGCGCAGAAACCGATGCAGCATTGTACGGACGCAGAGAGGGATTCGGTGCTGTCAGTTGCTGTGAATGTGCTGAACACTGTGGAAGAGTACGTGAAAAGCCACCCACAATCAGCGGCGTTTCTGCCCGGAACGTCCGACCATGGGTTCACGTTTGTTGGGCTTTGGAGTAAGATGAATGTCAAAGGGGCCAGGATACGGAATGCTGTTAGGGCGTGGTATAGGGGATCGGGGCTGAAATCTAATCTGATTTATTCATGAAGTACGGTACTAGGAGGGTCGTGAGATGGTTGTCAATCCACTTAAAAGTCTAGTATTTTTCTCAAGGATGACATGGATCGGTGTACTGGAGTCGAGTACTACTAGACCAGTTGTGCAGTTATGGTCCTATACTTGGATTTGATACGGTAACATCGAGTGAATGGTGAGGGGGGGGGGGGGGGGGGGGGAGTATCTTCTGGCAAAGAAAATAGGACATAAGCTTATGGCTGTGTACCCATGTGCCCATGCTGGTGCCCCATCTCCGTGCCCTCTACCAGCATGCAGTTCCTTCCCTACATGTACGTGTTTTTCCTCATCATGCTCAAATCAAGGTCTTGTTGTATAGTGAAAGTTGCGTAAAGTTGCTGAATGTATTGTTCTGGTACCTGTTAATTCGAGCGACTGGCATCCCTGGTCTACAGCTGCCGATATATTGGGGTCTGATTTATTTATTTGAACCATGAAAGGAGTTGCGAGGATACGTACGTTTATTCGGTATTAAGTAGATTAGTATACACATTTTATGTAGTCGCAATTATGTCTATCGAAGATATGATAGGGGATTTCCGATCTCCGATGAATCAGAGAATGACTCACCTTCTGCCGTTGCCAGATCAACTCCAGCATCATATGGCTGCTTGAACGAATCACGTTGCTTTCCGATGAGTTCAATCACGTGCGAGTCCTTTGTCGTTTCAATCATTGCGAATGCTGGCTTGTTCAACGGGCAAAAAGTTTTGGCTGCTGTTGGTTCTAAAGCTTTCGTCGTGTTCCTACCCCAACTTTGCTTGTACTGCAAACCGGCTCAATTGCCTAGCTAAGCAAATCAATCTTTGAAAAAAGTTCGTAGCGATATTCATATTCCCAAGCCCAACTATCTTGGAAATTTGTGTGAGCTGTATTGTGGAAATTCTCGCCCAACGTCATCATCAACTTGTGTCTCCATGTCATTCGGCGAGCCACCTCGGGAAGATTTTCGGATAAGGTGTGGTCGTGCTTCACTCGTCGCGAGAGTGGGAGCGCGCATGCGTGCGCGCATGTTTTCCGACTTTCTCCACAATCCCCCCCAGTTCCTCTTCCTCATCACACCAAGCCCTAGCTCACTCGCACCGCGGCATCCAGCAACATCCCCCCTCCGGGAGGAGCGCTCCGCTTCCGCCCATCCCTTCTCCCACTTGTCCAGTCCGAGAATGCGGTGCTGCAGAAGAATCTCCCCCACTGTTCCGCTCCGCATAATGCTGCTCCGCGTATCAACTGAATGAAGTCATGGCAGGGCAGGGCAGTCTCTGCTTCTGTTGCAATTCCGCCGGGCCCGACTGGGCTGGGGAAACGGAATCATGGAGGTTGGGGGAAACTGACATCTGGGATCTTGGAGGTTGAAATGGTTCTTAAAGGTTTCAAGTGGGTTTGGTTGAATACACTGGTTTAGGCTTGTTTGTGGGTGGCTTCGTCTGGTCTCTTGCATTCGTCCGCCTCTCGCTTTCTCCATGCCCCGCCACTAGTGCTGCTGTCAGTCACGCCACCACGGCCTCCCACCCTCACTTCCTCCCATGGCTACTCTTCCTCACACGATTCTCAATCTCGCTTGCAAAAGGTGCTGCATCAAAACATCTTCGCTCACTTTCCACATTCAACTTGCCACACGAGGGAAAACCAGGATTGGAAGCTAACTCAGGATTCTTTTGCCACCGCCTGCCCCTGGTGTTCTCGTCTGGTTGTGTCCGTAGTGGCTTCTAAGTCTAACTCCCCCTTGACGGCTATGCGCGTTGCATTCAGTCGCCTATCAGCGGCCGACTAAATCGCTAGTCAACTCTCACAGTAGCCAGCACGAGCTGGAGGCGATAGGTCGCTCGAGTCTCGCAACCAGAGCACCGAGCGTAATCCAGAACGCTTCACCCCGCAGCTCGGTCGCTCGGTCGCTCGGTCGCTCGAGTCGTTCGAGTCTCGCAGCTCAGTCGCTCCCGTCTCTCCGCCGCGCGCTTCCCGGTGGATGAAGCCGTCAGCGGACCTGTCGCCGTCGTCGGCCGCCATGTGTAAGCGCGAGGGGGGGCTCGGCGACGCGTCGAGGCTGACGGAGAGCGAGAAGGAGAAAACGAAGCTGCGCGAGCGGCAGCGGCGCGCCATAACCACGAAGATCTTTGCCGGCCTGCGCAAGTACGGCGGGTACAACCTTCCGCCGAGGGCGGACATCAACGACGTTCTGCGCGCGCTCGCCGCGGAAGCCGGCTGGGTCGTCGAGTCCGACGGCACCACCTACCGCTCCCCCGTACGAGCCGCAGCCTCTTTCCTTCCGCCTACCCTGCCACACCGTCTCCCATGCTGCTTTTAATCCACTTGCTATTCAGGCGCGCGGTGGTTGCCGTTGTCCCGCTCGTGTGTCCAATGTTTCGTTGCACGCTATCTTTCCGTTCTTTACCCACCCAATCTTCCGTGTTCTTCCCTTCCCGTCCCTCCTCTCTCGCTCCCGTCGCCAGGGGTCGCAGCCGCCCACTCGCCACTCGTCGCTGCACAGTCGCACGGCGGCTGCCATCGCCGCCGGCTCGCTCGCCATGTACCCGGCACAGCAGGCGCCGCAGCTGGCGCCGCAATCGCCGGCGCAGCTGGCGCATCTACAACATCCTGCCGCGCACCTAACTCATTCCGCGCACCCGCACGCGCTTCCCCAGCTCGCCGCAACGCCGTCGGGCGCAACCGCATCCGTGTCGCCCATGTCTCCGCGGGAGGCTTGCGCGTCCGCTCCGCTCGTCGGCTCTCCGCCCTCCACCGGCAGCCCCTCGCTGCTTCCCCGTTCTTCCCCCACGTCCGTTCCCGCTTCCGCTGCAGCGTCCGCCAGCGGCGCGGTGGGGGGAACCGGCGGAGGCATGGCGGGCGGTGGGTTGGGTGGCGCAGGCATGTACGGCGGCGCGGGCATGATGGCGGGAATGAACGGGTTCGGCCTGCCCGGATCGTTCCCTGCGATGCAACTTCCGCACGGCATGCTTACGCTGATGCCGCATCAGCCAGGCACTTCCTCCGCCGCTGCGGCAGGCGGAATGGGCGCGTTCGCCATGAGCATGGGGCCGGGCGGACTGAGCGCGGGTATGGGCACGGGTATGGGCGCAGGCTTGAGCGCAAGCATGGGCGCGGGCACGGCGATGAGCGCGGGGGGGGACATGAAGATAGATCCGCACGCTGGGGGGATGCTGCTGGCGGGAACGAACGCGACGGGCGGAAGCAGCGCGTGCATGATGGGGATGCTGGGGGCCGCGGGGGATCCCATGTCCGCTGCCGCCGCGGCTGCCGCGGCTGCGGCAAGTGGTGGGGGAATGAGCGGTGGTGTGGGCGGCGGTGTCGCCGGAGGAATGGGCGGCGGATTGGGCGGGGCAATGATGCTTCTCCCCGGGTTCCATTCCCTGCCCCATGGCGCGGGTTCCTCTGCTGCAGGGGGGAACATGGGCGGGATAATGGGACCCCTGGGGGAGCTACACATGGGCGGAGGATTGCTGGGCGGAGGGGGCGGGGGCAGCACTTTGCTCGGGGCGGAAGGAGAGGTTTCGCTGTCCCCGTCGTCGGATATCACTCTGTCCGCGTCTATGGCATCCTCGCTACAAGCAGTTGCGGCCTCACAACACCAAGAGCAGCAGCAACAGTATGAAACCCAGCATCTCCAGCAACATCATCAGCAGCAGCAACAGCACCAGCAACATCAGCACCAGCAGCAGCAGCAACAGCTGCTGCAGCATCAACACCTACAACAGCAGCAGCAGCAGTATCACCAACAGTTTTCTGCTGCTGCTGCACATGCTGCGGGCATGCCTGCAGGGCTTGCGGGCATGGCTTCGGGCACAAGTCGCGGGCAGATCGCCGCCCGGCCGTAGATACACTCTCGTCTTTTTCGCCTCTTTACTGGTCGCAAGACGCTCACGACATGCCCCCATGGGAACCCCTCCGTGATGGCATGTCATTCCATGATCACTCCAAGAAGCAGTGTCTAGGAGCTGCAGCTGCTGAGCTGCTTCACTCACAAGCGTGCCATGTGCGGCTGCACATGCGTCTTTTTACATCAGAGCAAAGTGACTGCTCAGCAGCTTGGTTTGCCTCACCTTTCTTTTATGCCCTTTGGTTTGCCTAACGCTTTTTGGTTTGCTGTGCTTTTTGTGTGCATAGGTTGTGTGGCTCTAGGTGTACTAGCAAGTGTGTTTAGTGAGTTGTGTGATATAGAGCAAGCCAGCAATGGCTTGCTGTGTGCCTCAGTTTACAGCCGCAGACTTTTTCGCGGTTCCCAAGTGTGTCAGTGTTAAAGCTCGCGTCTCATATTTCTGCCATCCAACCAAGTGTTAAACGGTTGGAATCCGGTAACAGCAGAGTTTGTCGCGAAGCACACCAAAGCAAGGGGTGGTTGGGAAAGTTGGCTGTCGCACACTTCCCCGTGCACACCAAGTGTTTACAACTCCCAAAAATATGAGACTCTGAACTGAACGTTGACAGAACCCAGGACCAAACCTGTCACCCTTGCCTCGGTTTCCCCCCAAACCAACCCACCCTGGTTTGTTTTGGCCTCGATCTTTTGGAGTTCGCTGTGTTTTTTTCGCCCACTCGTCAAATATTTCGACTTTCGTTACCCAATCAAACCCTGGCAAACCCAACCAAGTGTTAAACGGTTGGAAATTAGAGACGCGAGCTTTAATAGTTTGTGTGTGTCTCAAATGTGTGAAAGAAAATGATGGATTTGGTTCGTTTCTGTTTTGAGCTTCAGTTACTGTTAGTTCATTTTGAGATATTGTAAGTCACGCACTGCTGGCTCCTTCGGGCACAATTGACTGGACGGCTTGTGCAAATACTGGAGGCGGTTGTAGCGCAGCCCTGGCGGTTGTAGGGATTCAGATTATCGACAGGGAGCTCACTCATCTCACACTCGGGATCGCGATGCTGGTTTCTGGAAGAAGTTTCACGAGTTTTGGCTACGATTCGAGAGCTCCAGCCATGGGATTCGCGTCCTTCATTGGGAGAGTCTTCTTTTCCGCCATTTTCATCCTCGCAGCATGGCAAAAGTGGGAACTTGCTTGCAACTCATGTATTTTTATTCGCAGAAGCCCGTGCGAGCTTTGTTGAACGATGGTGAAAAATACCACTGACTACTGAATGCCGATCCACGTTGATCCAGGTTCAATGATTTCGGTCCCGATGGCGGACCCGCGTTGAAGAACATGGCTCCGAAGCTGGAGACGTTTCAAAATCACTTGAAGGATTCGTTAGGTCTCTCCGTTCCGCATGTTGACGTGAGTTTCACAAAGTTTAATGTCCGTTAGTCTCTGTACCTTAACGTAACGTTCTTGTTTCCGGGAGTGTCGTTGACTGACATCGTAGTTTCCAGAGGCTTCGACATTTTCGGGGAAGGCATTAACTATAAGACTTCAATCCACGTCTCTATCCATATCGTACCGCTTGTGATTGCAGCCCAAGATTCTTCTCTTGACAGCAATCGTGTTGGAAGGAGTGGGTGGCATTTTATTTACGATCGGAAGCAGCTTGGGTGCATACTTCCTGGTACGTCCTTTTTAGTCTGCTAAAAAACCACCTTCTTACAATGTCATGCGACACACACACTTCCTTATGCGTCCCATCGGTTGCCATGGTTTGTTGTTCCAGGATTCATCCGTCTTGGCTGTACATTACCCGCTTTCACTGCATTTTTTTTAACGTCTATACACTTGCCTAGCTCTACATATTCGTCTCACGCCCATTCGAACCTTGCTTATCAACCTTGTCCCGATCCTGCCATTCCAAAATTTTATGTTCTCTTCTCACCCGTTTGAATTCCATGCTGCCTCACCGCCAGCTACTCTTCCTGGTGGCAGTGACGCCCATCATGCATGACTTCTACAACTTTAAGCCTGAAAGTGCGGAATACATCCACGAGTTCATCCAGTTCCTCAAGGTAAACTCCTCATGTTTCCGTTTGGTGTTCAACCAATGTAACCATTTTAAATCCTTACTTCCGCCCGGATTCGTCTGGCCCCTCCTCCCCCCTTTTTTCCCTTTTCTTTCCTATTCGGATCCTTGAGCATTCTAACTCCAACGATTTTGCAGTAATTGCGTGACATCTTGCACCTTCCATAAGTTGCATCTGGCAGTTCGTCAACCATGTTGTCTGTGCTCAAGCTATGTCGTTTTCGATCCCTGCTGTGTACTGGGCATGCGCAGCTCTGCAGCCAAGTAGCCCTCTTGGTTCTGCAGACTTATGAGGTCTATGTGTGATGTTTATGCCAGTGCAGCTCTTCCTCTCCCTTGTGCCACCATTGCAGAATCTTTCTTTGGTGGGAGCCCTACTTGTTTACCTCGGAATGCGCAGCTCTGCAGCCAAGCTCGCATCCAGGAAGCGAAAAGCCCCTTCCAAGTCCAAAGTCAGCTGAAACTATGCCTCTGACTCAACCATCTTTAATTGAACATGCATCCTGGAAAACAAAACGAGCTGTACTGGACGTCGGGCTTGGTGTGGTTTGGTTTGGAATGGGCGCTGTCATTCATGAACATTGCATGTCGTTTCACAGCACGTCGGGCCTGTGCACAGTCCATTCCTCAATAGTACAATGATCGTCGTAAGTAATCACACTTTTATGTTCCTGAACTTTCAATTCTTCTAGCTGCTAACAACATATTTATGTACCGTAGCTGAATTCAACTGTAGTTGACAATTATTTCAAAACAAATCGGAACCTTTCAGGGGCCCTCGATCTGCTCCTCGTTGGCTCCGTTCGCTTGTCCAAAGACAGACCACGTTTTTCAGAAAGCAGCAACATTGCATTCAGATTACCAGCTGGAACGGATCCCGTCACTGGCCGTTGCAGGTAATTCGTGGAACTCGCTCTCCATAGTGTTGTGAAAAACGCCTCATTGTTGGCTGGTTGATGCGTTGCAGATGCGTCAGGTCGTCGAGACGATGAGATATTACGTGCTCGACGGACTCTTTGAGATGACGGAACCAGAAAACAGGTGCTTCCAGCCTGAAGAACGGCAGATGGCCGAAGAGGATTGACGGGATCCGAATCCATGCAGACAACAAACTCGGGATACTCTTGCTGAACCTGCCGTACCATCACCCGGTCCCAGTAGAGTCGAGCTGCGCCGCTTGGAAGAAGGAGAACGCACGGCGAGGATTCCATTATGGGAAGACGATCAGAGGGAGGAGGTGGGGAGAAGGTGAAATAGTTTACTGCTCGCAACTCGACACAGCGCGTAGTACTAATTTGTCCAAGACAACGTGATCACTTGCAGACTATGTTTATCCTGACTTATCCTCCTACTACGAGCATGAAGGAGGAGTCGAACGGTTAGCCTGATTCATGCTTCTATGCTGCCACCGTTTCAAGGTGCAGCAAAAGGAAATATCTTAATTCTAATACAGAAGGCGGAAGGTCCAATCAGACCGCAGCCATGCGGGATACGGCGAAAAAGGCAGGACAGAAGGTTCCAAGGAAGCACCAATGAGAATCAATCCGACCGTTCTTTTGAGCGCTATGCACCGACCCGCTGAGTGGCTTTTGAGTCGACTCAAAGGGTTCTGGGAAGTAAGTACCGTGTCCCTTTCATAAGCGCGACCGAGACGGGTAAGCAGATAACGTGGGGGGAAGCAGGAAAGCGACGTTTTCGACGTTTTTGAGCTATCTCAATCAAATCGACCTGCTGCAAAATGCAGAAAACGGCATCTCCCTCCCACGCAGCGATTTCAAATTGCAAGCTTGTGCGACTTGCGTGATACATGTTCCCGGCGACGTGCTGCTAAACGGCTGTCTCGTAGGAAACACTTATGGCCCAAATTTTTGAGACGGAGGTGCACATACACGGTGTGCTATACATGGGCCGTGAATCGACATGCTGTCGAACGACATGCAGTGTTCATGAGCGACGGCGCCTGCTACTACTGTACGAGGCACATGCACATTTTAGAGAGGAAAGTCTACGGTGGTTCTAGAAACTAGAAAGAAAAGCTTGTCGTGTTCTTGGTCTCGACGGTTCAAGAACGGAATCCGATCATGTTTCCGTAAAATAGTTCACCCCTGGATGGGAGAATGCTCGTCGCTCGTATTGGATCCGCTACGTGTCTAAAATGACAATGCTCACTCGAGCCAACTTGGGCGCGACGGGACGGTTATAATTAGGGCCCTGAGCTAACGGAAGGCGTGCGTCAGAAGCAGCACAAGCTCGACGAATCGCAGAAGGATCAAGTGCCACTTGGGGGAGGTAGTGGAAGATAGTTCACGAGGGGCGGTGCTCCGGGGAATGCCGTTTCGGAATGTGGTTCATTTTCGGGTCCAGGTCCCGACTGGACGGTCAGTTGTTGGAGAGTCCAACGAACCTGTCCACTTCCGATGTTGCTGAGCTGAATCCTGATTCCTGACTCCCGCTCCGAGGACGACACTGCCTGGGGTGCGCGGAACAACGCGGCCTACAAGAACCTTTCATCCTCCACATATTCAACACCACTATCTTCAGGTATGAAGGTAAAACGAATATTTACAACAGCAGAGAAACAGTGTAACTATCATCTATCTAGATCCGTCAAACCAGTTAGCCACTGCAATGTTCAGTGGCATGAGCATCCAGTCAGATGTAAACGATGTCCAATAGCTGGTGCCGCCAATCCCATGTGCATAGGCATTCAGTAAGAACACTCTGGTGTTGTCATGTGGATCATTGGCGTATTCCTGCAGGGAGGTGGTTACTATGGAGCCATGGTTCAGCACTGCAGTGCGTTCTTCAGGTCTACAGCCCTGCTGCTGCTGCTGCTGCTGCTGCTGCTGCTGCTGCTGCTGCTGCTGCTGCTGCTGCTGCTGTTTCCCTCTTTGATTCTCCTGCAGCGGCTGCTGCATTTGATTCCGTTCCTGCACCTGCTGCTCCTTGGCATTGTAGCCGTTCTTGCTTTGACCGGCACCAAAGCTGCTGACGGGTCTGCTCACAGCCTGATCACCAGTGTTACCATTTGCAACAACGGCACTGTCACCACTGCCCCCATTGCTGCTCCCACTGCTGTCCGCTACCTTGACGCCACCAGAACCGGCTGCACTATAACTGCTCCCCAAAAATGCTTCGTGGTAATCATTCTCAGCCATGCCAACACTTGTGAATACAGCCCCACCATCACCACCCAGCACCTTCGGCTTTGGTGTGTCCCCATCAACCCCTCCTCTCAAACCTTCCCTCCCTCCCGCTAGCCTGCCCCCCTCCCCTCCTCCCCCCATTCCAGCGCCTCCTGTCCAGAACCCCGCTCCTCCACTCAAGCCCCCGCCCCCTCCCCCACCGGCACCCCATCGGAGACCAAAGAGACACTCCTTGGCGTGCTCATGGCCCCAGGGCAGCTGGCCCCCAATCATGAGCGTTATGGGGTCAAAGAGCGTGTTGAGGATGAATATATCGGACGTGACATAAGCGAGCGAGTACTGTGGGAAAAAGCAGCGCCACTGGGCTTGACTTGCAAGATCTGCAGAGCGGAGGGAGCCGGGAAAGAGAGGGGGGGAAAGTGGAGGAGAGGGTTTTGGAGGGGAGAAAAGGGGAGCTTCAGAAAGCTAGAACTTTGAAAGAATTGAACATTTGGTGCACAGGGCTTGATCTTTTTGTGATCTCTGTAGTGTCTCACAAAGAGCGACCCTCACTCTGGCTGCATCTAGGATTGAACAACTGGTGTACAAGCCTCAGTCTTTGCTTCCCCGAGAAAGGCCCTCACTCTGATTGCACTTAGGGTTGAACATCTGGTGTAGCTGTGTCGCATTCTCTGCTATCTCTCGGAAAAAGGAACGCCCCTTCCTGTCAGGCGCGTCTGATGGCGGGCAGACAGGTGGGGAGGCAGGCGGGGAGGCAGGCGGGGAGGTAGGCGGGGAGGTAGGCGGGAGATTGACACAGGTGAGTGACGTGGATGAATGACACAGGTGAAGCACAGAACAAGACAGAGTCATATGACACCACAAGTGCAACGATACAAGTGTAACAGCGTTGACTGAGAAGCGCTGTGATGGTTAAGGGGGGGAGATTTGCGAAGAGGAGCATGGGCTGAGGAGGGTATTGTTGTGGGTGTTGCATGAGTGATGTGAGCGTGTATAGGTGGTGGGAGGTGCGTGGGTGCGATGCATGTGTGTCTCACGTTTTTGTTTTAGTCGACTCAAAACACGCACCAATGAAAAAGCCTCCACTAGAGAGGCGTTTGACAGAGGCAAAAGAGAGGTAGGCCGCGATTTAGGTGAGCGCACATAAGTGGGGTGTGAATCTGATACAGCATACATGATACGCACCAATGAAGAAGCCCCCATCAGAGAGGCATTTGACTGTGGCGAAGGAGAGGTAGGCTGCGATATAGTCACACAGGTTGACGACTGCCTGCCCCCCGGCTGACTCTCCCGTTATTAGCACCTGCTGAGCTGCCATGAGCCCTTTGGACGAGAGGTCTGGGGCGAGTGTGTGTGATTGGATGGGGGAAAGGAGGGGGAGGAGGCGTGTGTGTGTGTGTGCGTAAGAGTGTGTGATTGGATGGGGGAAGGGAGGAGGTATGAGTGTGTTTGCACGCATGAATGTGTGTGAGTGTGCAAAAGAGGACACCTGTGGAAGCAGAGCGGAAACGACAAGACAAGCACGCACATGCCAAAAGCACTGAAAGGACTGAAGCTCCAAAAAGAGGTGGGGAAGGAGGAAGGGGTGGGATGGAGTGAGGGGGGGTGGGATGGGGAAGGAGGAAGGTGCGGGGTGGAGGAAGGGGCAGGGTGGCGAGAGGGGGGGTGGAAGAGTTGAAGCACCATCGAGCATGGCCATGACGATTGTCATGACGAGGAAGGGGCAGGGCCATGACGATTGTCATGACGAGGAAGGGGCAGGGCCATGACGATTGTCATGACGAGGAAGGGGCAGGGCCATGACGATTGTCATGACGAGGAAGGGGCAGGGCCATGACGATTGTCATGACGAGGAAGGGGCAGGCCCATGAAGAGGGAATGGGTGGGGTGGGGAAGGAGGAATGGGTGGGGTGGGGAAGGAGGAATGGGTGGGATGGGGAAGGAGGAATGGGTGGGATGGGGAAGGAGGAATGGGTGGGGTGGGGAAGGAGGAATGGGTGGGGTGGGGAAGGAGGAATGGGTGGGATGGGGAAGGAGGAACGGGTGGGATGGGGAAGGAGGAATGGGTGGGATGGGGAAGGAGGAATGGGTGGGATGGGGAAGGAGGAATGGGTGGGATGGGGAAGGAGGAATGGGTGGGATGGGGAAGGAGGAATGGGTGGGGTGGGGAAGGAGGAATGGGTGGGATGGGGAAGGAGGAATGGGTGGGATGGGGAAGGAGGAATGGGTGGGATGGGGAAGGAGGAATGGGTGGGATGGGGAAGGAGGAATGGGTGGGATGGGGAAGGAGGAATGGGTGGGATGGGGAAGGAGGAATGGGTGGGATGGGGAAGGAGGAATGGGTGGGATGGGGAAGGAGGAATGGGTGGGATGGGGAAGGAGGAATGGGTGGGATGGGGAAGGAGGAATGGGTGGGATGGGGAAGGAGGAATGGGTGGGATGGGGAAGGAGGAATGGGTGGGATGGGGAAGGAGGAATGGGTGGGATGGGGAAGGAGGAATGGGTGGGATGGGGAAGGAGGAATGGGTGGGATGGGGAAGGAGGAATGGGTGGGATGGGGAAGGAGGAATGGGTGGGATGGGGAAGGAGGAATGGGTGGGATGGGGAAGGAGGAATGGGTGGGATGGGGAAGGAGGAATGGGTGGGATGGGGAAGGAGGAATGGGTGGGATGGGGAAGGAGGAATGGGTGGGATGGGGAAGGAGGAATGGGTGGGATGGGGAAGGAGGAATGGGTGGGATGGGGAAGGAGGAATGGGTGGGATGGGGAAGGAGGAATGGGTGGGATGGGGAAGGAGGAATGGGTGGGATGGGGAAGGAGGAATGGGTGGGATGGGGAAGGAGGAATGGGTGGGATGGGGAAGGAGGAATGGGTGGGATGGGGAAGGAGGAATGGGTGGGATGGGGAAGGAGGAATGGGTGGGGTGGGGAAGGAGGAATGGGTGGGATGGGGAAGGAGGAATGGGTGGGATGGGGAAGGAGGAATGGGTGGGATGGGGAAGGAGGAATGGGTGGGATGGGGAAGGAGGAATGGGTGGGGTGGGGAAGGAGGAATGGGTGGGGTGGGGAAGGAGGAATGGGTGGGATGGGGAAGGAGGAATGGGTGGGATGGGGAAGGAGGAATGGGTGGGATGGGGAAGGAGGAATGGGTGGGATGGGGAAGGAGGAATGGGTGGGGTGGGGAAGGAGGAATGGGTGGGATGGGGAAGGAGGAATGGGTGGGATGGGGAAGGAGGAATGGGTGGGATGGGGAAGGAGGAATGGGTGGGATGGGGAAGGAGGAATGGGTGGGGTGGGGAAGGAGGAATGGGTGGGATGGGGAAGGAGGAATGGGTGGGATGGGGAAGGAGGAATGGGTGGGATGGGGAAGGAGGAATGGGTGGGATGGGGAAGGAGGAATGGGTGGGATGGGGAAGGAGGAATGGGTGGGGTGGGGAAGGAGGAATGGGTGGGGTGGGGAAGGAGGAATGGGTGGGATGGGGAAGGAGGAATGGGTGGGATGGGGAAGGAGGAATGGGTGGGATGGGGAAGGAGGAATGGGTGGGGTGGGGAAGGAGGAATGGGTGGGATGGGGAAGGAGGAATGGGTGGGATGGGGAAGGAGGAATGGGTGGGATGGGGAAGGAGGAATGGGTGGGGTGGGGAAGGAGGAATGGGTGGGATGGGGAAGGAGGAATGGGTGGGATGGGGAAGGAGGAATGGGTGGGATGGGGAAGGAGGAATGGGTGGGATGGGGAAGGAGGAATGGGTGGGATGGGGAAGGAGGAATGGGTGGGATGGGGAAGGAGGAATGGGTGGGATGGGGAAGGAGGAATGGGTGGGGTGGGGAAGGAGGAATGGGTGGGGTGGGGAAGGAGGAATGGGTGGGATGGGGAAGGAGGAATGGGTGGGATGGGGAAGGAGGAATGGGTGGGATGGGGAAGGAGGAATGGGTGGGGTGGGGAAGGAGGAATGGGTGGGATGGGGAAGGAGGAATGGGTGGGATGGGGAAGGAGGAATGGGTGGGGTGGGGAAGGAGGAATGGGTGGGGTGGGGAAGGAGGAATGGGTGGGATGGGGAAGGAGGAATGGGTGGGATGGGGAAGGAGGAATGGGTGGGATGGGGAAGGAGGAATGGGTGGGATGGGGAAGGAGGAATGGGTGGGGTGGGGAAGGAGGAATGGGTGGGATGGGGAAGGAGGAATGGGTGGGATGGGGAAGGAGGAATGGGTGGGGTGGGGAAGGAGGAATGGGTGGGATGGGGAAGGAGGAATGGGTGGGATGGGGAAGGAGGAATGGGTGGGATGGGGAAGGAGGAATGGGTGGGATGGGGAAGGAGGAATGGGTGGGATGGGGAAGGAGGAATGGGTGGGATGGGGAAGGAGGAATGGGTGGGGTGGGGAAGGAGGAATGGGTGGGATGGGGAAGGAGGAATGGGTGGGATGGGGAAGGAGGAATGGGTGGGATGGGGAAGGAGGAATGGGTGGGATGGGGAAGGAGGAATGGGTGGGATGGGGAAGGAGGAATGGGTGGGATGGGGAAGGAGGAATGGGTGGGATGGGGAAGGAGGAATGGGTGGGATGGGGAAGGAGGAATGGGTGGGGTGGGGAAGGAGGAATGGGTGGGGTGGGGAAGGAGGAATGGGTGGGATGGGGAAGGAGGAATGGGTGGGATGGGGAAGGAGGAATGGGTGGGATGGGGAAGGAGGAATGGGTGGGGTGGGGAAGGAGGAATGGGTGGGATGGGGAAGGAGGAATGGGTGGGATGGGGAAGGAGGAATGGGTGGGGTGGGGAAGGAGGAATGGGTGGGGTGGGGAAGGAGGAATGGGTGGGATGGGGAAGGAGGAATGGGTGGGATGGGGAAGGAGGAATGGGTGGGATGGGGAAGGAGGAATGGGTGGGATGGGGAAGGAGGAATGGGTGGGATGGGGAAGGAGGAATGGGTGGGGTGGGGAAGGAGGAATGGGTGGGGTGGGGAAGGAGGAATGGGTGGGATGGGGAAGGAGGAATGGGTGGGATGGGGAAGGAGGAATGGGTGGGATGGGGAAGGAGGAATGGGTGGGATGGGGAAGGAGGAATGGGTGGGGTGGGGAAGGAGGAATGGGTGGGATGGGGAAGGAGGAATGGGTGGGATGGGGAAGGAGGAATGGGTGGGATGGGGAAGGAGGAATGGGTGGGATGGGGAAGGAGGAATGGGTGGGATGGGGAAGGAGGAATGGGTGGGATGGGGAAGGAGGAATGGGTGGGATGGGGAAGGAGGAATGGGTGGGATGGGGAAGGAGGAATGGGTGGGATGGGGAAGGAGGAATGGGTGGGATGGGGAAGGAGGAATGGGTGGGATGGGGAAGGAGGAATGGGTGGGATGGGGAAGGAGGAATGGGTGGGATGGGGAAGGAGGAATGGGTGGGATGGGGAAGGAGGAATGGGTGGGATGGGGAAGGAGGAATGGGTGGGATGGGGAAGGAGGAATGGGTGGGATGGGGAAGGAGGAATGGGTGGGATGGGGAAGGAGGAATGGGTGGGATGGGGAAGGAGGAATGGGTGGGATGGGGAAGGAGGAATGGGTGGGATGGGGAAGGAGGAATGGGTGGGATGGGGAAGGAGGAATGGGTGGGATGGGGAAGGAGGAATGGGTGGGATGGGGAAGGAGGAATGGGTGGGATGGGGAAGGAGGAATGGGTGGGATGGGGAAGGAGGAATGGGTGGGGAAGGAGGAATGGGTGGGATGGGAAGGAGGAATGGGTGGGATGGGGAAGGAGGAATGGGTGGGATGGGGAAGGAGGAATGGGTGGGATGGGGAAGGAGGAATGGGTGGGATGGGGAAGGAGGAATGGGTGGGATGGGGAAGGAGGAATGGGTGGGATGGGGAAGGAGGAATGGGTGGGATGGGGAAGGAGGAATGGGTGGGATGGGGAAGGAGGAATGGGTGGGATGGGGAAGGAGGAATGGGTGGGATGGGGAAGGAGGAATGGGTGGGATGGGGAAGGAGGAATGGGTGGGATGGGGAAGGAGGAATGGGTGGGGTGGGGAAGGAGGAATGGGTGGGATGGGGAAGGAGGAATGGGTGGGATGGGGAAGGAGGAATGGGTGGGATGGGGAAGGAGGAATGGGTGGGATGGGGAAGGAGGAATGGGTGGGATGGGGAAGGAGGAATGGGTGGGATGGGGAAGGAGGAATGGGTGGGGTGGGGAAGGAGGAAACCCTGGGTTCACGTCCGGGTCTGCACTCATGATGCCCGGCAGCCATGCCGGCTGGTGGTGGGGGGGGAGAGGATAGTGGGAGATCGATTGAATTGGCTCCTTATATCAGTGCACGGTTATTCTCCCTTCAATACACGCACATCAAGCCTTTTCAATACACGCACATTTGAACCCCTCAACACACCCTCATTTCCCCTCTATACATGCACACTCATTCCCCTTCAACACACGCACAATCATTGCCCTGGGCCACAGGCGCGACGACCCCAGCTTCCTCCCGGCGCGCCACGCGCACGTCCCCTCGGTGGTGCACCACCCGCCGCCCGGCAGATGGATGTGCCAGAAGCGGCTCAGCGACGGCCGCGCGCGGCGCAGGTAGTACCCGGGGGGACTGGGGGTGGTGGGCGGAGAGAGGGGGAGGAGAAGGAGGGGGAAGAAGTGGAGAAGGAGAGAGGGAACGGGAAGGAGATATGCCTGAAGAAGGGAGGAGGGGAGGAAGGAAGGGGAGAGTGGGGATGGAGGGTTGAGGTGCCTCTCCTCGCGCAGTTCTCCGCAATGCTGCACCTCCCGGCTCGCGACGCCTTTCGCTCCATAAAAAAAGGCGCTTTCTTAATCGAGACACAGCGCACAATTGAAGACCATGCGAAAAGTGAGTGACGTTTTTTGTTGACGAAATGCGGCAGTGGGGTTACCTGCCGTCGAGGCATTTCGCGCCGAAAGGATTGTCTGGCAGGAGAGTTAACGGAACGGGAGCCGCTTGAAGCGGACCCGCTTTATACGCCGATACTCCGTTCCCGTCAGCCGCCTTCGTTCCCCGGTATTTAAAGTCGCCGTTAGCGTGAACGGCGGCGGGGACTAACAGTCCAGTCAGCAGTAATAGAAATATTTGCGACATAAGCAGTAGAGACGTGAGTAGTTGATGACACGAACGCGCTCGTGCCCGACTTAACGAAGGAGCCGGTTTTAGTGACAGCGCTGCGCTGTTCTTACGGCGATTGTTCCTACAGCAGCTGGATTGACGGCGTCTAAGGGAGGGTGAGCGAGTCGACGATCCTGAGTTAAATCTAGCTGCCATTATAGCGGCTGGTGAGTTTCCTGGGAACTGTAAAATTGTAGTCTAAATCATTCTGTGTCGCCGTTCTCTTGATGATCTTAAGAAGGCGTAGCCGACCGTAGGAATGTTGGATCCGCGAGTCATTTGAGACGAGACGTAACGTAGTATGAACCCGCGTCGCTGCTTCACGGGACCTCCCTCGTCATCAACGGGTAATGAAGCACGCTGCGAGAGTGAACGGCGAGAAAGCTAACAGAACGAGGCTCAGGAGGACTGAGGAAAATAGCAGATCAGTTCGTTTCCGGCAATCAATAGGCGTTGAGGCGGGCGGCTGGTCAAGATGATGCATAGTCGCTGAGTTGGTTGGTTGGTTCCTAGGTCGACGAGCAAGGGTTGTTGCGCCACGACGAGTGGCGGCGGATGGTGAAAACTCGAGAGCGCCAATCACGCAGCAATATCGGCCACGGAAAGCAGCTTCGAGGTGGCCATGGGAAGGGAAATGACTCTGAAGTGGTTACGAGGCTGTTCATTCAGATCAGGTTTTATAGGATTTTGAAATCACTGTTATATTCAATCAGGTTCATTTCAAACGCGTACGGTCCAATTTGAAACTCCGATTCTGGTTGTGGCTACGTGGTGGGCGGAGGACCCGCGCAGCACCCCATGCAGGGCGCAATGCGCAGTGCGCACCGCCGATATTTCCCCCGCCCGCCAGCCAGTCACTCACGCACTGCAGCAAGATGGCGTCAAGCAGACGAGCGCCAATGAGTCACAGCGGATATGGGGGGGAGCTGAGCTGAGTCCCGCTGTCCCGCGCTCGCTTATCCAGCATTCGTCAAGCGGAAGGCAGCCACCGCAGCAGAACTCCGTCCCCCTGCGCGGAGCCTGGTTGGGTTTGCAGAAGGCACCATTTCCGCGGAGAACACTCGCAAGAAAGGGCGCTAGGAAGGCGATTATGGCGGATAGCCGTTTGAGCTATTTTAGCATTTCAGCTTCTCCTAAGCGCACTAAGTACTAAAGAATGCTTGCTGCTAGGAGGTTCGCGATAATTGACGGCTAGGTGGTCGTCTTGATTAGATAGTAATATAGATTAACACTCCGCGCAGAGTTTTTTTTTTTAGGGAGCATAAATTAGCCCAACTTTGACTGCTCGTGTTCGGTTCCCGTCAGATTACGGTTTTATTTTAGACCGTCTTCTGTTACTAGCAGCAGCGTTCGTCTTCCCCTCCGTGTGCACAATAGTCTTTGTTCGCATCGTCTGATCGCTGCATTATCCCCATAGTTACTGCCATCCCTCGCCCTCCTCGACCGTGATGTGTCCTCCATAGTCGTAGTCCCTGTCCGACGTTGTCGCGTTCCTCGTGTCTGTCGCGTTGTTAAGAAGCGAAGCCATTATATACCGTCCTCGTCCTCGTCGTCGCCGTCGGCATCCCCGTCGCATAGTCGGCGTCGTTGCGATGTTCTTTTCGCAACTCTTTTTGTCGAAGAAGGGTGCGCTCGGCCCGATATGGATAGCGGCGCATCTGGAGCGGAAGCTGCGGAAGAATCAAATATTCGAAACCGACATCCCGCAGACCGTCGGTGAGAAACATTAGCTTGCATCTCGGGTCACTGGCTTCAAAGCGTATTAAGCTTACGCTTCGATGCTTGTGTTTTTCCAGTCCTTACGAAACGGTTGCTTGTTCTGTTTCCTTGGTTTTTATGCTTAAAAGGTTTTATCAGCTGTCTTCGGCGGATTCTTCTAGTCAGTTTACAGAGGTTTGACGTGTAATCCTGGTTCTGGTAACAGTAACACAAGGAACACCGTTTCCCACCGCGCTTTCCCTCCCCCAGACACCATTCTTCACCCCGAGGTCCCCATCGCGCTGCGGCTGTCGGGACACCTGCTGCTGGGCGTCGTGCGAATATACTCGCGGAAGGTATCCCTCTCTTGATTGATTCTTATCCCTGATTATTGCGGTTCGCTTGCGCACTGAACGCAGCGTGCCGCATCAAGTGCTGTTTCTTTCTCTCTCCGCTGCGACGCCATTCGCGACGTTATGCGTAGCCTTGTAACGTAATTCGCTCCCTCGTTGTCCTTCCCTCGCCCGTTGTCCGTCCAGGTGGGCTACCTGTACGCGGATTGCTCCGATGCGGTGCTGCGTATGAAGCAGGTATGCACCTATACACTTACACTTTAATACATTTTTTTCCTCATGCAATCTTCAACGTGTTGGTACTTTGAGCCAACTCAGTATTCACAGAAAGAGGCCAAACGTATTTCCACCCTCTCCGCCCCTCCCCCCCCCGTTCCCCGCCCCGCCAGGTGTTGGCGCGAGCAGCGGTGGATCTACCCCCAGAGGCAGCAACGGCGTCGTTCCATGCCATCACCCTGCCGGAGCACTTCGAACTCGAGGAGCTGCTCGCCCTGCCCGATGGGGTCTTTGAGCTGCAACCCGGGTGAGAGAGCGAGTGGGTAAGGGGAGTGTGTGTGTGAGCAATATGGAAGAATGCGTGAGCGTCGTTCCATGCCATCACTCTGCCGGAGCACTTGGAGCTCGAGGAGCTGCTCGCGCTGCCTGACGGCGTATTCGAACTGCAACCGGGGTGATTAGGGGCGTGTGGCGGGAGTGACAGCAACAGAATTCTCAGAAAAGGGAATGTGCATGTGAGTGACATGTACGAGGACGTGGGCTGGCTGGAATGTGCATGCGAGCGGTATGCTTGAGCGCCGTTCCATCCATGCCATCACCCTGCCCAAGCACTTGGAGTTGGAACAGCTGCTCGCCCTGCCCCATGGGGTGTTCGAGCTGCAGCCCGGGTGTGAGGAGGAGAGACGGTTAGGGGCGTGGTGTGGGTTAGGGAAATGTGTATCTGCGCAGTATGGAAGAATGCATGAGCGCCGTTTCATGCCATCACCCTGCCGGGTTGGAAAAAGAGCTGCTCGCTTTGGCCGATGGGGTGTTGGAGTTGCAGCCGGGGTGAGATGGGGAGAAGCAGGTAAGTGCATTGGAGCAAGTGGGCTGCAGTTCTCCGTGTTATCAGGGGCATGTGTATACGAGCGAGTAAGTGAAAGAGAGCAGTTCAAAGGGGAGAAGCGAAGCTGCATGTTCATTCTGTGTGTGTCAGTAATGTTGCTTTCTGATCCATCTGCGTGCGTCGCCGTCAGCACGCACGGGTTGCCTTTCCATGGCAGTCTTTCTGAACCGTCTGTTCTTCGTTGGTGTCGTGCATGTGGCGTGGCGCCATGGCAGGGCGGTGGACAAGAGTCTCACCACGCGCGAGCAGATCACTTTGCCGGAGCCGCCGCCTTTCAATGTGACCTTTGAGGCGACTCAAAAGTCAACCTGTACCGTCTTCTTTCTGTTGTGTGTCGTGGGTGGCGCCATGGCAGGGCGGTGGACAAGAGTCTCACCACGCGCGAGCAGATCACGCTGCCGGAGCCGCCGCCTCCTGTCGATGATGGCTACGCGTTTGGCTCGCAGTACCGCCTGGATGGTAAGTGGTGGGCGGTGGGTGTGGTGGGTGGTGGGTGATGGGTAGAGGGTGGCGGGTGGTGGGTAGTAGAATGTGTGCGTGCATGCATGATGGCTACGCCTTTGGCTCGCAGTACCGCCTGGACGGTGGGCGCTTGTGGGTTGTGTGCGTGGTTGAATGCGCATGGGTGCACGGTTTAGAGGAAGCATGCATGGTGGTTATTCGTTTTGATGACAGTGTGATATTCTGACAGCAATTCGCGGTGGTGAGGTAGGGCGCGGTGATGCGGCTGGTGGGGAAGAGGGGTGTTGGGCAGGGGAGGACAGGGTTGCGAGGCTGGGCTGTTATCTTCTCAAGAAGCTGCTTGCATTACTCTTGTTGTTCCGCCTCGTGACCCTGTCCTCCCCTGCCCCCTCTGTTCCCCCTGCCCTCTCTGTTCCCCCTGCCCTCCTACCCGCCCTGCTCCCCCTGTCACCCCTGTCACCCCTGTTTCCCTCGGTGCAGAGCAATTCGCGGTGGTGGAGGAGGGTGCGGTGATGCGGCTGGTGGAGGAGGGCGAGGAGGACGGCGAGCCATGGCTGCCCCGTGACGTGGCACACAAAGAGAGAGAGGGACGAGGGGCGGGGAAGGAGGGAGCGGATGAGGGGAGGGAGGCGGAGGAGGTGGCAGAGGAGCGGGCGAGAGGGGGAGCAGGGGAGGGGGTGGCGGAGGAGGAAAGGGGCGTGGGGGCCGGTGGGTATGAGCCTGAAGCGGGGCTGGAGGGATATGAGCCTGAGGAAGGACTGATGGAGCCCATGGATCTAGACATGGGGTTTGGCGCGGGGATGGAGATGGGTGGAGAGGGGCGAGGAGCGGTGGGGGAGGAGGCAGTGGAGGCGACGCAGCCGGTGGAGGCGGCACAGGAGGAGGGTGAGAAGCAGGAGGCGGAAGCAGCAGGGGCGGCAGGGGAAAGAGGGGAAGCAGCAGCGGGACGGGAAGCAGGAGAAGCAGGGGCAGCAGGGGCAGGAGAAGAAGCCGCGGTGGGGGCAGAGGAAGGAGCAGAGGGAGGGGCAGGGGCAGAGGCAGGGGCAGAAGGAGGGGCAGGGGAAGAAGGCGAGGAGGTACCGGAGGTGGAGGTGAGGCGAGCAGAAGCCGTGCCTGCTGACCATGAGGCGCGCAGCCTAGAGGCTGCTGAAGCTGCTGCTGCCGCGGCCGCTGCTGGTGCTGCAGGAAAGGGGTCTGTGCCGGGCACACCATGGGCTGATGTGGCGGAGGAGAGGGAGGGGGAGGCGAGGAGAGGGGAAGGGGAGGCAGGGGAGGCGGGGCGCATGGGGTTCGCCACGCCCTCTGTGGGCATCCCAGGTGAGGCAATGTAGGGAAGGGAAGAGGGCGCTGTGGGGGGATGTTTCAGGTCGCTCAACGAAAAGGGGGGGAGAGGGGGAGGAGGGGGGGGGGGGGGGGGGGCGGGGGGTGGTATGGGCGGGATGGTTACGCCTGTCGGGTTGATGGGGTTACGCCTTCTGTGGGCATTCCTGGTGAGTCATTTGGGGGAAGTGAGTGTGGATGTGGGGGTGGGGCATGGGATGCTTTTCGGGAATGCGTGAGGGGGTGCTGTGAGGCTCACTGGTTGGTTGCTGCTTCTGTTATAAGTATCGGCACTGGTGCTGGAAAGAGTTTCGATTATGAGACTACTTATCAGCAAATGGCTTATGATGTTTATTCTTCTTACCAACAAATGTATCTTGCCTTTCCCCAAGCCCTGGCTGCCCTCTAACCCCCACCGCCCCACTGCCCCTCTGCCCCACCCCACCACCCCACATCACCCTCAGCCATCCCCACCCCAGATTTTGCCCTCGCACCCACGCCCACCCCCACACCTGCACCCGCACCCGCACATGAGGACCAGGCCGGGCCTGAACACCACGCTGCAGTTGCCGAGCCTGCTGAGGCTCCCGAGCCTGCAGACGAGGCTCGGGCTGGGCTGCCCCCGAGGCCGCCGAGGCGAGGGCAGGCGAAGAGGAAGCGAGGGGCTGCAGCAGCGGGGGATGGTGTGGGGACAGTCTTGGACTCGCTCACTGTGCTTCCCTCTGAGTACGTTGTGCCCGCCTCCTATGCCCTTGGAAGTTGGAAAAGTTCTGACCTGCTCTTTATATGTCCGCCTTTGGAGTCGTGTCATGTCACATAGCCATTGTGGTCTGGTCTCGCTCACTGTGCTGCCCTCTGAGTACGTTGTGCCTGCCTCCTCTGCCCTCTTCTCCCCTCCTCTTCTTCCCTCCTCTGCCTCTGTTGTTCTACCCTCTAAAGAAGCGTTTTGACGAGTTTGCTGCTGTAGCCTCTGAGTGTGGCCAGAACCCACTTTACCTTTTGCCCTCCCTTGACCCTCTCCCCTCCTTGCCCCTCACTCCTCACCACCTCCCCCCCTTCCCACCCGCACCACCTGCCTATCCTCTCTCTTGCCCTCTCCCCGCCCCAACCTGTCCTGCCCCACCCTCACCCCACCCCTCCACACACCCTCCCTTCCTCCCCCCCCTTTCTTTACCCAACCAGCACCATCCGCCAGCAGCTCATCTCCCCGGCGACCTTGTGAGGAAGCGCCTAACCTCTCCTGCCCCACCTGCTCCCTTCCCCACCCTCGCCCTGCCCCACCCTTTCTTCCCCCTTCCCCTTCCCCTTCCCCTTTCCTCCCCCCCCCCCCACCAGCACCATCCGCCAGCAGCTCATCTCCCCGGGCGGCCTCGTGAGGAACCAAGGCCTAACCTCTCTCGCCCATCTCGCCCATCTCGCCCATCCCGCCCATCCCGCCCATCTCGCCCATCCCGCCCATCTCCCCTGCCTCACCCACTTTCTGCTACGCCCGCCCCCTTCCCCCCCCCTCTCCCCCCCCCACCAGCACCATCCGCCAGCAGCTCATCTCCCCGGACGACCTCGTGAGGAAGCGCCGCAGGGCCCCGCACACACCCGTCCAGCTGGCAGCGCTGCATTGGTCCGTGGCAGGCGTGGAGGGATTGCATGAGCCGGCTGTAGCGCAGGCTGTAGCACCGGCTGTAGCGGGCGTGACAGATGGAGTGGCGGCAGATGGAATGGCTTATGCGTTTGCAGCAGATGGGTTCGCACATGGTATGGCAGCAGCTGTAGCAGGGGCGGGAGATGGGGGAGTGTCCGCTACAGCTGCTGCTGCTGCTGCTGCTCGAGATGGCGGTGCTGTTGCAGAGGTGGAGGAAGGGGTAGGTTTGGGGTCGTTTCTGGCTCGGTTCTTTTCCGAGGCTCCGCCGAGCCTGCCGAGGAGGCCTGGAGGAAGGGAGACGGGGAGGAAGAGGGGGAGGGAGGAGAGGGTGGAAGGTGAGGGGGTGGAGGGGAGGGAGGAGGGTGTGGGTGTGGGGAGAGACGAAGGGGAGGGTAGAGGGGTGGAGAGGAGAAGAGGGGAAGAGGAAGTAGAGAGGGCGGGAGATGTTGAAGCAGGTGTGGGGAGGGAAGAGGAGGCAGGGGCGGGGAGGGAGGAGGTAGAAGTGGAGGAGGTGGAGGAGGTGAGGGGGCAGGTGGAAGGGGAAAGGCTGGCAACACGTGGGGAGGGAGTGACTGATGAGATTCGCGAGGCTGGTCAGGAGACTCCTGCAGAGCCTGCTGCAGCTCATGCTACAGGCGCCGCTGCTACAGACGCCACTGCTACACGCACTCCTGCTCAGGTTTCTCCTGATGAAGGGGAGGGGGCGGGTTGGGTGATGCGCCCTCACACCACCCCGGACAGTGCTGCTGCTGGGCTGGAGGGTATGCCTGCCGTGCCCCCCACGCCCTTCACCCCCGGCTCTCCTCCCGCTCCTCTCTCCCCCGTCGCTCCTCCCTCTCCTGCTGCAAGTGGCGAGGGAGTGGCAGCAGGCGCAGAGGCAGAGGCAGAGGCAGCAAGTGGTGCAGAAACAGCAGCAGGAGGCGCAGAGGCAGGCGCAGAGGCAGGCGCAGAGGCAGCGCCTGAGCCCTTCCCTGCTGCTGGCGTCACACCGTCCACAGAGCCCTACTTCCCCCCAATGGATGCTGCTGGGCTCATGGAAGCACCGGAGGAGGAGGGGGCATCGGAGGAGGAACTAGAGGGAAGCGGAGGCGAGGCAGTGGCAGAGGATAGAGGGAGGGAGGCGGCAGCAGCAGAGGGGAGGGGGAGAGAGGCCACTCTAGCCGCGGTGGGTGATGCTCTAGTTATGAGTTGTCTCTGTTCTGGTCAGTTAATTTCTGCAAGGGCTAGAGTTTTGGGCTGCCCTTTGCTTGTATCTGTTTTTTCTATTTCCGTTCTTGAGTTTCCAGTCTGTGCTTTTCTGTGGTTCACATTTAACATGGTGGGTGTCTGCCGCTGTGGTATTTCCTTCCCTCCTTCCCTCTTTCCCTCCTTCCCTTCTTCCCCTCTTCTCCCGGATTCTGTGTGTGCAGCTGCATGTGTCAGAAGAGAGTTTCTACTTCCTCAGAGATGGAGGCGACAAAGGTGAGCGGTGGCGAGCGGTGATGAGCGGTGGTGGAAGGTTGTGATCACTGGTGAGGGGTGGAGTGGAGACAGGTTGAGCTGTGGCAATTGCGGGGTTGGTTGTGGGTGTTGGAATCTCCCTTCTATCCACACTCATACCTCCTTCGCACGCCTTAACACCCTCCCCATACCCTCCCCACCTCCCCATCCCCGCACCTGCAGAGGTGGACGAGTGGGACCCGATGGGATCAGGCAAGCGCAAGGCAGCAGCAGCAGAGGGACCCACAGATGACTTTTCCAGCTGGAGCTGGCGCACCAGGTGGGCAGGCGTGTGGGGTTGAGAGGGTAGGGGGAAGAAGGAGGGGGTTGGAGAGGGGTGGGGAGAGGTAGGAAGGGGTGTGAGCTTGGGGGGAAAGAAAGAGGAGAGAAGTGGGGGGGATTGGTGGCTCAAGGGGTTGAGGGCTTTGGAGGGTATGAACCATAGGTGGAGGCGAGGGTTTAAAAGAAGAGGAAGGGAGGTGAAGGGAGTAGACGCCCAGGGGGTATCGAGTAGTAGGCTGCATGACGGGGATTCAGGGGAAGAGAGGCGCCTGGTGATTCTCTCTGGCCGCTTGCCGGTGCTACCCTCCCTAGCATCCCTTTCCAATCTCTTCCTGCCATCCCCTCCGTCACCCCCCCTTTCCTCCCTGCGCCCACCCCAGAGGAGCCGCCAAGTTTCTGCAGCACTCGTTGACTGCTCTGGCGGAGCAGCAGGCACTGGCGGGCGATGGAAGGGGAGCAGCAGCAGCAGGAGGAGCAGTGGGGACGGAGGAATCGGCGGGGGTTGATTCGGCGCGATCGCAGCCGTCCGTGTGGCTGCTGGCGGTGGTGAAGGGACGGCCGAGACGAGAGGCTGCTCGGATGTTCTTTGAGACCCTCGTGAGTGCATGGCGTAGGCGAGCGGGCTCGTGCATAAGCTGATATGATTTCATTAAAGCCACGATTTCTAAGGTCCGCCTGTCCAGTGCCCTTTCTCTGCTCTCTCACTAAGCCTGAACTCTCTCACTTCCCTTCATCCCAAATGGATGAACTCTGTACTGCTGTAAACCCTGTGCGAAACCCTGATTCGCCAGGTGCTGAAGACGAGGGACTTCATTCAAGTGCAGCAGACAGAGCCGTATGGCGACATCAGCATCACAGCGCAGGATCCCCTCATGCAAGCCGCCCTCTGATGCTGCTACGGCCGGGTTGTCACATCATGACATGGTACCATGCTGACACACACTAACCTCTGGTTTGCTCTATGTCCACTCCACTGCCCACCCACTGGCTAATAGGTTTTAGGTAGGTAATAGCATGTTACTAACATCAGCTGGGGATGAGCCATTAGTAAGCTGCCCTTGCCTTTGTAGGCGTATTTAGGAGTGTACAGTGCAGGTTTATGAACTTAGCTACATGTTTCCTGACTAGATATGTTTCTCCATATTATGAGTATAGATTTTCCGCTATGAAAATAACTTAGAGAAGGTTAACTCGTGTGTTTCACGTAAGTGTTGATTCTTGGGTGTATGCTATCTCGAAATTTCATTTCCTGCCACATCAGCCTCTGACCATTACCTCGGGGCGTCCACATCAGCAAGCCGTGATTGCGTTACCAATCCCAAGGTGCAGCTCCCCAGCCCGGAGCGTCGGATTCGCCGCGAGCCGAGCTGAGAGGATAACAGGGGGAGCAGGGGAGCAGTGAAGGGGAGAGAGTGGAGTGGAAGGACAAGGCTAGGGAGAGCTAGTCAAGAGTTTCGTGCACGTTCCCAAGAAAGCCTATTTCTGTTTCACTTGCCTCATTCTCTGCAAAACGAGAGCGTTTTGCGTGCAACAGCAACGCGAAGCAGCCACATTGTTTGTGGCTTTTTGCTTGCTTATCCAGGACGTTTGCTTGACTAATTGCCCTGTAGCTTCGCCGCTGTAACCATGGCGTCCGTCGCGCAACGAGCAGCAGTTGCTGCCAGCTCAGTCTCTCAAATTGCCTCGTCAGCACGCAATGCCTCGTCCAGGCCTACCGCGACCTGCCACGTGGCGTCCCCTCGCCTCCACCTCGGATCAGATTTCGTCTCAAAATCCGCCTCTTCCGCCTTCCAAGGCGTTAGAGTCACACTCGCTAAGAGCCAATCCAGCCGCAATTCCCGCACCGCATCTCGCGCCGTGGTTGTCGCGGCGGGCGGTTCCTCGAAACTTCCGTCGATGAACGAACTCCCGCTACTGAGTTACATCAACCAGCAGGGCCGCATAGTTCCTCCCGTCGACCCGGGAACCACGGCGTCCGTGTTCGCTGTACTCGATAAGAACAAGAAGGTGCAGTATATCGGGTTCTCCAAGGACGTGCGAAACTCGCTGCGAACGCTCATGGGACGGCGCCCCGAGTTCTGCTACTACTACAAGCTGTACAACCTGTCGACCATGGACCAGCAGCAGATGATTGACATCCGCGCGCAGGTACGGCTGTCTGGGATGCTTATAACGGGTCGTCGGACAAAAATGTACTTTTATACGACGGCCAGTGTCGGCCGTTCGTTTTGCTGTGAGAAATGTGAATATCTCTGGCTTGTGCAGCCATGTTTTCTCCATTAGTCACCCAAAATCCCCTTTTTTTCCCAAACCATCTCTTTCAAGGTTACTCGCACTCCACATAAGAATCTCCTAAAATCGAAATTTTGTCCACCTGTTGGCAACGTAAGCGTCGTCCAGAGTGGGCTTTGTGAGCAGCAGATCCGAGCTCAATTCCGGACAAAGTGACGACGACTAAGCACTAAATATCCCCTAAATTGTGCACTCCCTATTTTTTACTATCTTCTCACCTTTTCCACATGCTACAGTGGTTCTCGGAGATGGGAATTCCGCCGGTGGGCAACACGGACCCGATCCAGAGGGGGTACTGGGAGCGGCCGGCGGACGCGGGGTCGATCTCGGAGAGAGGCAAGGTGGCGGCTGCGCAGTCCAAGGCGAAGACTCTGCTGCAGATGATGGTGGATCGCGGCCTCAAAGAGGAGGTGAGCTGACGTGACTATAGTTATGGTGTTTGAGTTGTGAGTGTTACTGTAATGAAGGGGGTTATGTGAGGCAAGGTGGCGGCGGCGCAGTCCAAGGCGAAGACGCTGCTGCAGATGATGGTGGACCGCGGCCTCAAGGAGGAGGTGAGTGGAATGTGATTGTAACTAGGGTGCTAATGATCTTGAGTAATGTGACAGCAACGAGGGCACTGAGCGAGGGGTGTGAGCGCGCAGTGCGGTGCGGGTGCAGTAGAGGGCGTTGGATGCTGGATTCGCGATTGATGTCACGAGGGATAGTGGCCAAAAAATATTGTAGCGGGAAGGCATTAGACGTTTCAGAAGGTTGAGTGTTTCGCTGAAGTATGGATTCTTTCTTTGGTGCGAGAAGGCGTGGCAATTCGCACAAAGAGGACGGGTGAAAAGGCAACTATCCCTCACATGCCATGCAAAGGGAGTCATTATATGGTGGCTCCAGTTTAGTGAAGATCAATAGAGACCGGGAGGAAGATCTGATTGTTCACCAGTCGTGACTGCTTGTTTCCCTTCGTTGACTGTTCGTTCACCCTTCGTTGACTGTTCGTTCACTCTTCGTTGACTGCTCTCTCAACGCTCGCTGACTGTTGGTTCACTGATTATTGACGGCCAATTGGCTGCCCTTGTCCATTCTGTTTCCTGCTGTGCAGATGGAGTATGACCCGAAGCTCATTGAGGAGGGCAAGTGCGACGTGCTGCCGGTATGCCTCCTCACCCGCACTCACCACTCATCACACACTCACTCACACTCGCCCTCACCCACGCACACTCACACTCAAACTCTCACTCACGCCCGCACCCCTTCACTCACAGATTCGCTTACACTCAATCACTCACACCCTCGCCCTCACTCATGGGTTGCCCAGGCCTATCTGCAGCATGGCTTGTCACCATTGCCCTGGGGCACAATCCGCCACTCTCAATGCCGCCTCCTTCGATCTTCACTCGCATCCCGTCCCCTGCCAGTCTCCCTTCCACCCAATCCTCAGTCCTTTCAATGTTGTATGTCTCCTTGCCCCCACCTCCCCTTTTCCCCTTTCCCCTTCCCTCCCCCTCCCCTTTCCCCTTACCCTTACCCTTTCCGTTTCCCATACCCCTTCTCCTCTCTCCCTGCCCCTCCGTCTCCCCCCCCGTCCCTCTTCCCCCCCACCAGTCCAAGTCACAGTCAGCAGAGGAGCTGGCGGCGGCAGCGGCGGAGCAGGAGGCGTCAGCAGCGCGCGTGGTGCACATCACAGAGACAGCGCCGTCAGGGGAGGTGATCGAGTTCGACCTCACCACGGACGACAAGATCAAGACGAACGGCGGGTGGATGTACGACGTCTATGTCACCAAGGACGACAAGGAGACGCGCCACCGCATCGTGCTGGGCCGCGTGTACTCGGAAGCGGTGAACCTGCCAGAGGATGCCGTCATTGCCCGGATCATAGCCTTCCTCCTGGTGAGTGCTTGGTGCTGGTGGGGCCTTTGTGTGCTGGTCTGGACTCTGGTGGGGCCTTTGTGTGCTGGTCTGGTGGGCCTTTGTTCTCTTAGGCGAAGTCATCGAGTTCGACCTCACCACGGACGACAAGATCAAGACCAACGGCGGGTGGATGTACGACGTCTATGTCACCAAGGACGACAAGGAGACGCCCGAAGATGCTGTCATTGCCAGGAGGATTATCGCCTTCCTCCTGGTGAGTCTAAATTACTCTCAGAAATGTTGAGCATTGTAATTAGTGGTGCTGGGGAGGGTGTATCCCGAGGCGGTGAACCTGCCAGAGGATGCCGTGATTGCCAGGATGCCGTGATTGCCAGGATGCCGTGATTGCCAGAATCATTGCCTTTTTCCTTCCCTGGTGAGTCCTTCCTGCTGGCGCCACTTTCGCATTGTCTCTGCATTACCCCATCACATCACCCCACCTCCCCTTGCTCTCGCTGCAATTCAGGCGGCGCATCCCCATGGCAGACGGAGGGAGTGCATCTATCTAGTAGTTCCTCACCAACTGCTTTTATCCTCTTTCCCCGTGTCTACTTTCCCTCGCTTCTTTACCCAATCCCTCCCCTCCCTTCTCCCCATCTCCCTTCCCTCTCACATCAGCACAAGCGCATTACTCGGCAGACGGAGGGGGTGCAATCCAGCAAGCAGTTCCCCATCAACCACTTCATGCCTCGTCCCTATCCTCTGCTTCCTCCTTCCCTACTTCTCCTTGTCTGCTTTCCCCTTGCCTGCTCCTATCGCAGCACAAGACGGAGGGGGTGCTCTCCAGCGAGCAGTTCCCTATCAACTACTTCGCAGTCTCAGAAGTGGCGCAGAAATTCGAGGACCTCGGGGAGTGGTTCCCGGGGGGGGACCTGCCCCCTTTTTTCTGTTTTTCCCTTTCTGCTCTCTCCTCAATCTGCTTTCCGCGTATACGCTTTCCCCTTACCTGCTCCTATCGCAGCACAAGAAGATCCCTCGGCAGACAGAAGGGGTGCTCTCCAGCGAGCAGTTCCCTATCAACTACTTCGCAGTCTCAGAAGTGGCGCAGAAATTCGAGGACCTCGGGGAGTGGTTCCCGGGGGGAGACCTGCCGGACAGCTACTGGCGCTTCAACCGCATCCACGAGTACGGCAATGTCACCGCGCCTGTTTCCACACAGGAGGCGCCGCAGCTGTACTCGCCAAAGTATTAGTCTGATATGGATGTGCTGGGCTGTTTTGGAGAGGCGTGGATGGCTTTTGCTTAGATCTTTGTACTTTTTCAAACTGCAAATTGATTTTAATCCACCTATAGTCTATTGTGCTCACAATTGTTACAAAATGTAATGAATACGCTAGGAGCTCGGGGAGTGGTTCCCTGGGGGAGACCTGCCGATAACTACTGGCGCTTCAACCGCATCCACGAGTACGGCAATGTCACCGCGCCTGTATCCACACACGAGGCCCCGCAGTTGTACTCGCCAAAGTATTGATCTGATATGGATGTGCTGGGCTGTTTTGGAAAGGCGTGGTTGGGTTTCGCTACGAGCGTTTTCATCCCAAAAACGCGGAAGGATCCGCACATTTGGAAAAAATGCAACAGGCATGGTTCATTCGCCAGTACCAATGACCGATCATGCCCGTCACCCTCCCACGCTCTTGCTGGCTTGGTAATAGGTCCAAACGCACACAGCCGCCGCGTGACCGAACGGAAGAAAAACGCTCGGAACGAGCGTTTTCATCCCCAAAACGCGTAAGGATCAGCACATATGCAGAAAATACAGCAGGCATGGTTCATTCGCCAGTACCAATGACCGATCATGCTCGCCACCCTCCCACACTCTTGCTAGCTTGGTAATAGGTCCAAACGCACACAGCCAGGTGACCGAACGGAAGAAAAGCATTTGTCGGAAAAAAACAGCCGAAATCGTAAGCGCCGAACTTTTATTTGCGCATGAACCAAGCCGAAAAGGCTCTATTAGGAATATTTGAACATGAGTCATGCAATCGTGTTACGCGACTTGGGGAAATTGGCGACTATCGCGGAGCGATTACGGTAGGAAGTGTTGTATGACGTGGCGTCGCACAATTCGCGAGATCACAAATGTTGCGCCTCCAACAAACCAGTCAAATCTCAATTCTCATCGTGCCATCGATTGACTTGGAAAATAACAAAATGACTAGGGAGCTCGAACACAACAACAACAATGACAATTATTTCAGCAACACCAGCAACATGTAAAATATACATGATACATCATGGATGGCATCATTCCCTCCCAGCAACCACTATCTCACATTTCCAAAAGCAGACGTTGTACCATTGTTGCATCATTCATCTCTTGGGCCACCCATCGAGCTACAGCTACCTGGATAGAAGTCTTGAAACTTCTCACAAACCCCCATCGCCAAGAAGTTAAAAGTCTTGTGCGCTACAAGCCGCAGCGGCACGAAGGCACCAAACCCTTTCTTGAACCTCAATAAATGGACTATGCTGTTGAACACTGCCACAGCTGTACTCTCTGCTGCACTGCACTCACTTTGTGTGCACCAACCACCAGGACCCTCTGACGGTGGTATAAACAAGTGTGATTGTAATGAGGCTAATATATCTGACTGTGACCGAACCAAACTCCTAAGACACTCTACGGGGTTGGTGGTGTTGGGAAGCTGATTACCAATGAGGAGAGATACGTCATCAAAGACGGTGTTTAGAATGAAGAAGGGGGAAGAGGCGAAGGGAAGGGCGTATTGGGGAAAGAAGCATCGCCACCGCTCAGACGCAGGGGTCACTGCATGCAGGGGCAAGGAAGTGGCAGGGAGATGGGTGGAAGGGAGTAGTTGTTGTAAGAGTACAAGTTCGTCACTGTTGGCCCCTGCCGCATGCACTGCAACATGAGAGCAGGAGGGCCCACCTTGATCGCAGCGGGACTGCGGGGAGAACTGGTGCAGCGCTGAGACCTGCTGGGCCAGGCTCTGGAAGTGCATTCGCCCCGTGCGGTCCGGGGCGTCTGGGGGGGGGTGGGGGGGAGGGAGTGGGAGTGGAGAGGGGGAGAAATGAAGAGGGAGAGGGGTGTGCGTGTGATAGGGTGAAAGGGGGGTGTCTGAAATGTGGTGAGGTGGGTGTGAGAGGCCAGCGGTGTGTGGTGCAGAAAACGGATGGGTAATGGCACCTATTGGGGAAGAAAGTAAGAGGAGGTGCGCGTACCGGGGAAGAAAGAGAAGGGGCGGCACCACCTACCGGGGAAGAAGGAGAAGGTGCGCGTACCGGGGAAGAAGGAGCCATCGAGGAGGCATTTGACGGTGGCGCGGGGCAGCAGTGCAGCGAGGGAGTCACAGAGGCGCATCACTGCCAGCCCCCCCGCTGACGTCCCCGACACCAGCACTGTGGTCGCCCTCGCTATCGCTCGGTTTTCAAGCAGGTCTGGTGAGGTCGCAGAGGAGGGATGAGTAGGGACAGGCAGAGAGGAGGCACGAGGAGGGAACACAGAGGACCCGAGAAGGGCGGAGAGGTCACAGCATGGACACGTAACTCCGTCACTGTGGGCTAAGGCGGAGAGATATGTAACTAGGTCGGGAATGCCATGTGATTGGAGCGCCAGCCATTGCTGAAACAAAGGATTGATTCTTGAGGCGCGTGAACGAAAGCACCAACCGTACACATTTCAAAACACAGCATCCAGAACGGCACCAGCACCGCACGCAACGCACCTGCCACCAGCAGCGCTATCACCTTCCCACGCAACGCACATCCCAGACGATCAACGCGTATCCCAAGCAACGCACCATCCATGATAGCGCTGACGATCCTGCTCCCATCCATGTATACGAAGCGCCCCTCCCCCACGGGCACGCGCCCGGCTGCCCCGCATAGCCGCCCCCATCGCAGTAGACAGCCATGGCCAGGCGCCACCCCGCAAAGAACGGGTTTGCCTCCTCGTTGCTGCTCAGAATGCCCATGAATTGACCCTGCGCCCACGTGCCCTGTAGTGAAAAGGGAGAGGGTAGGGGGGGGGGGGGAGGGGGGGGGGGTGGGAAGATGTCCAGGGGAGCAGGCAGGGTGGCATAAGCAAGCGAAGCGACTTCTGGTTCTGATTATCTGCTGGCGGAACTTTCTTAAGAACAAAACCACTGTTGGCAAAGACACTCCCACTCACGTTACTGGTTCTTGGGCACGTGCTGGTGCTGCCAAGGGGGCTTTTTGAGAAGCCTCAAAAGTCACCTCGATGTTACTCCCACTCACGTTGTTGGATTTGGGCCACATGCTGCTGGTGCTGCCATGCTGCATCCCACGCGGCACTGCCTTCTGTTGCCGCACCACCCGCCGCCCGGTTTAGTTTTGAGACGTCTCAAAACTCACTCACGTTGTTGGTTGTCGGCCACATGCTAGTGCCACCCAGCTCCCATCCCGGCTCGAATGCGGCCCTGCCTTCTGTTGCCGCACCGCCCGCCCCCTCCCCCCCCACCCGGTGATTTTTCAATCGACTAGAAAATCACCTCTTCGCACGGATGATTCCGCTCACGTTATTGGTTGTCGGCCACATGCTAGTGCTTCCAAGCTGCATCCCGGCTCGAATGCGGCACTGTCGTTTGTTGCCGCACCACCCGCCGCCCGGAAAATGGATGTGCCACGTGGAGACGCCCTTCCAAGGTGCCTCCCGCAGGTAGTACCCCGGCGGACTGGGATAGATGCGAGGAGGGGGGGGGGGGGTCAAGCGGAGAAGGGGGAAGTGGAATAGGAGTGACACCCACGGGGTGTGGCGCCCTTCCAAGGCGCCTCCCGCAGGTAGTACCCCGGCGGACTGGGATAGATGCGAGGAGGGGGGGGGGGGGGGGGGGGGGGGGGTGAAGCAGGGGGAAGTGGAATAGGAGTGACGCCCACGTGGTGGCGCCCTTCCAAGGCGCCTCCCACAGGTAATACCCCGGCGGACTGGGATAGATGCACGGGGGACAAGAAGAGGCGCGGAGGAGGGGGAGGGGGAAGGGAGAGGCGGAATGAGGAAGTGGTGGAATGACGCCTTCCCCAGGTGCCGCTCGCAGGTATTATTCTTGCGGACTGGGACAACGTGTGGGGGAGCATGAGAGTAGGGGGTGAGGAGGATGGGGAGGGAACGGGAGGAGAGGGAGGGGAAAGAGTTTTGAGATTCCTCAAGAATCACATTATTCTCCGGGGACTGGGAAAATGTGTGGGGAGAAGAAGAGAAGGGGACGGGTGGTGGGGGAAGGAGAAAGGGGGAGACGGGATAAGGAAAGAGTTTGAGACCCGTCAAAAGTCAGGTAGTTCCCGGTGGGACTGGGATCGATGTGTGGTGGGGGGGGGGGGGGGGGGGGGGGGGTTAAGCCATGTGATAAAAGTGTATTCTTGAGATGTCTAAAAAATACACTTTTTATTTTGTGGAGAAAGGTTTGAGACCCCTCGAGAATCAGGTGGTTCCCGGTGGGACTGGGATCGATGTGTGGGTGGGAAGAAGAGGAGTGAGAGAGGGGGAGAGTGGGGACAGCAGGGACAGTGTAGCATCGCTGTCTCATCGTGGCGCCATCGCTCTCAGGTTCAGACGAGACAGAAGGAAGTGGAGAAACAGTCACACAGTGGTTTTTGAGGCGCCTCAAAAACCACCTCAGACGAGACAGAATGTAGTGGGAGAAACAGTCACACGGTGCAAGCAGCCTTATAGTAAAGCACACCATGCAGGATGAGGGAGGGGCATACCTGTTGTCTAAATGCTCTGAATGCCGGCTGAGTGAGGGGAATATCTGAATGTGCAAGAATGCTCTGTGAGGGGCATAACTCCTGTCTAAGATAGAATTAGTGAGAGTTTCGAAATGCAGTCTCTGGCGGGATACAGGACCCAGCAAAAGCTTTCCACTCCATACCTCCCATCCAGGCATCGCGCTCCGTATTTATTCTCCGGAAGAAGAACCAACGTGGCGGGACGTGGATCGCTCGCTTTGAGTCGCGCCCTTCCTTGCCGCAGCGCGCTCAATCTTGAAGGGCACACCGCTAGGAGGGCCAAGAGCGCCACGGCGTTTAGCCATGCCACGTGGACGGCTGGAATGCGAACACGACGATTGGTTGCTAATAACCCTCGCATCGAGATCGGCGGGCACGGAATCACGATGGAATTCAAGAGACGGCGAGATGACCTTGCCTTGAGCATGCGAGCAATGAGAAAGGAAAGATTCGACAGAGAATGAGGTCATAAGCGCTAATAGATTCGACAGAGAATGAGGTCATAAGCGCTAATAGATTCGACAGAGAATGAGGTCATAAGCGCTACTACCAGTGATACGGGTGGCTGAGGAGAACGAGTAGCTGAGGGAAGCGGTGGCTGGCTCTCCAATAAATGCGGTACGGGAATCATGCAGCATGGCATGGGATGAAATGGAAAGGCGAGGTGTGGGGAGATTGGGCCCTCTACAGGCAGCTGTCGCCGTATCTTCGTTCGGGAGAAACCATTGAAGGGGAGGCGTAGGTAAGGCCATGGTGGACAACTGGGTCGTAGCGACTACTAGTAGCTCGGCGGGTGGTAGGCGACATGCTGCGGTTGGTGGCTTCCGCTGGAACAGTGTTCGACTCTGAATGAACGCTATTGGCTGGGTGTCTCAGCCGTCTGTGTTGGACCGCGACGCGATTGACAACGCGTAGCTGCGAGATATGGCTGGGTGTGTCAAGTAGGATAGACCTCGTTCCTAGCTGGCAAGCGGTCCTTACTGCGCCGCGATGTTTGCTAACTTCTGGCAAAAAAATTGGCTCGAAGTGTGTCCAGTCGCTCAATTTTCTTTCAGTAACTCATCGCCAGCATCGGCGACAATCGCCTGGGCAGGTGGCGAATGAACGCAAGGGAATCGTGGAAATGCCGATTTACAGGGAACGACATGAGCACACGCAACACAACGCAACCCCTGGCGGATTTGCAGCACTAGATGGCGCTGGCTTTCGCGAACAAATTACCGTCGATGGTCACCAACCTTTTTGTCGTAAAAGTTCATGCAAATCGCGAAAAGCGTTTTAGAAAACGGTGATGAAGCTTATGAGCACATACAAGTGTAGGCCAGTTATGATTGTAGTCTTACCGTAGAAGATTACAAAATCGTTCCCAATGACTGTCAGACATTTATCCTGAAGAGTTTATTTCCTCAAGTGTACAACATTGGTGGATCAGTACTCCCCCAGGTCACCCACTTAGCTACAGCTACATGGATCGCGGTCCTGTCAACCTTCACTGCACTCCACAACCGAGAAGTTACTGTGCTGTGTGCAATAAGCCACACTGGCACAAACGCACCAAACCCTTTCTTGGTCTTCACTATATCGAGTATGCCACTGTACACTGCGGCAGCTGTACCCTGTGCTGCACTGCACTCTCTTTCCGAGCACCAACCATTGGGACCCTCCAGTGGTGGTCGAAATGAGCGTGATTGTAACGAAGCCAATAGATTCGGCTGTGACCGAATCAATCTCGTTAGGCAGACTACAGGATTGGTGGTGTTGGGAAGCTGGTTACCAATCAGTAACGCGACTCTATCGAAGGCAGGGTTCACGATAAAGAAGGGAGAGGAGGCGAAAAGGAGGGCGTATTGGGGAAAGAAGCATCGCCACCGCTCAGATGGAAGGGTCACTGCAGGCAGGGAGAGACAAGGAAATGCCGAGGAGATGGGTGGGAGGGAGTAGACGCAAAAGACATGGGATGGACGGATAAGACAGAGATGTAGTGGGGAAAGCTGTACTGGGATGGGATATACGGTTGGTCACAGCAGTGGCGAGATCTGAAGAAGCGCGAGGCATGGAATGAAGGGAGAGAGACGGTTCAGGGAGGCGAGGAAACAGAGGATTCAAACAGAGTCAGATACAGGCAATGAGCAGGAATAGAGTGTGAGTGGTTGCATAGGAGCAGGTGGAGCGCCCACCCTGATCGCAGCGGGACTGCGGGGAGAATCGGTGCAGCGCTGAGACCTGTTGGGCCAGGCTCTGAAAGTGCATTCGCCCCGTGCGGTCCGGGGCGTCTGGTGGGGGGGAAAGGGAAAGAGATGGGAGTGCGTCGGAAACGGGTGGAGAAAGTAGGGAAGGGAAGGAAGGAGTGCAGTTATTGGGGTGAGAATGGGTAAAGGTGGGGGAGAGAGAACGGGGGAAGGGCGGATAGAATGGGGGCAGGGGGGAAGCAAGTCATGGTGGGAGGAAGGTGATGGTAAGTGGAGGCCAGTGATTCCAGGAGTGCAGAGGCGGCACTTACCAAGAACAAGACACTTTGAAGTTCTCAGTGGGAGGAAGCGAAAAAGAGTTGCGTACCAGGGACAAAAGAGAAGGGGGGCGTAACAGGGACAAACGAGAAAAAGAGCATATCCTGGAAGAAAGAAAGGGCGCACGTACCGGGGAAGAAGGAGCCATCGAGGAGGCATTTGACGGTGGCGCGGGGCAGCAGTGCAGCGAGGGAGTCACAGAGGCGCATCACTGCCAACCCCCCCGCTGACGTCCCCGACACCAGCACCTCGGTTGCCCTTGCGATTGCTCGATTCGCCAGCAGGTCTGATGAGGTGAGCAGCAGCGAGCGGAGAGGCATGAGGAAGGAGGGACAGATGGAGAGGGAGGCTTGGATAGTAGTGACAAGCGGAAACGAGGCATGAAAGCACGGATGGGGAAAGAAAGCAACTCACGCACTAGCATGTTTCTTGACTACCAAGTTACAAGCAATTGACAGAACTCGTAAGGCTCTATGGCCCCACACATCCCAAGGAAGCGCACATTGCTCAATGACTGATGTTAGGCGACTGACACACTCCCATATGTCCCATATGTCACAAGCACCACACACCATCCATGATTGCGCTGACGATCCTGCTGCCATCCATGTACACGAAGCGCCCCTCCCCCACAGCCACGCGCCCAGCCGACCCCGCGTAGCCGCCCCCATCGCAGTAGACAGGCATGGTCAGGTGCCACCCCGCAAAGAACGGGTTTGCCCCCTCGTTGCTGCTCAGGATGCCCCCAAACCTACCCTGCGCCCACGAGGCCTGCGGGAGGGAGAGAGTGGGGGAGGGATTTGAAGCGGTTGAGAATCACACGCTACAGCCAGCGATTCTTTCCGATTAGTTTTTTTCTAGTGTCTCGCTGCTGCTAAAAATGTGCCTAAACCAATGCAGCCTGGGTGGTATGAGGGGTTACGGAGGAGCAGAGAATGACTTGGTGCCCGGGCCATCCATAAGAACATGTTTTTCAAAATCATTAGGAGTCAGTCATAATATAACTTGGTATGTGGGAGAAGATCTGTCAAGCGCATGATTCCACTCACGTTATTCATGATTCCACTCACGTTATTCATGATTCCACTCACGTTAATCATGATTCCACTCACGTTATTCATGATTCCACTCACGTTATTCATGATTCCACTCACGTTATTCATGATTCCACTCACGTTAATCATGATTCCACTCACGTTATTCATGATTCCACTCACGTTATTCATGATTCCACTCACGTTATTCATGATTCCACTCACGTTAATCATGATTCCACTCACGTTATTCATGATTCCACTCACGTTATTCATGATTCCACTCACGTTATTCATGATTCCACTCACGTTATTCATGATTCCACTCACGTTATTCATGATTCCACTCACGTTATTCATGATTCCACTCACGTTAATCATGATTCCACTCACGTTATTCATGATTCCACTCACGTTATTCATGATTCCACTCACGTTATTCATGATTCCACTCACGTTATTCATGATTCCACTCACGTTATTCATGATTCCACTCACGTTAATCATGATTCCACTCACGTTATTCATGATTCCACTCACGTTATTCATGATTCCACTCACGTTATTCATGATTCCACTCACGTTATTCATGATTCCACTCACGTTATTCATGATTCCACTCACGTTATTCATGATTCCACTCACGTTAATCATGATTCCACTCACGTTATTCATGATTCCACTCACGTTATTCATGATTCCACTCACGTTATTCATGATTCCACTCACGTTATTCATGATTCCACTCACGTTATTCATGATTCCACTCACGTTAATCATGATTCCACTCACGTTATTGGTCGGCGGCCACCTGGTGGTGCCGCCCAGCAGCCGCCCGGCCCGCCAGCCGCACTGGCTCTTGGTGGCGCACCACCCGCCACCCGGAAAGTGGATGTGCCACGAGGTGACGCCCTCCACAGGTGCCTCCCGCAGGTAGTATCCCGGCGGACTGAAACAGATGCGAGGGGGACACGCGGAGACGGGGGGTCGGGGGAAGTGGATACGGGGAGTGGGTGAGCAGAAGCAGTCTCGTCATTCCTCGATATGGAGGTTGATGGAAAGCTACAGAGTGCATGCTGCCTTATTGCGAAGCACAGCTTGAAGGGGACAATGATTGCACGAGTGAGCGATCTCAATAGCACATGACAGGTGACAAACGCCGGCGAATAGTTCCTTGCCTGCATTACAATTCGTCAACCACCTTTCTGAAGCACATATTTTCTCAAGGGATATCCTGTAGAAGTTTCCACTCCATACCTAACATCCAGGCATCGCGCTCCGTATTTATTCTCCGGAAGAAGAACCAACGTGGCGAGACGTGGTTCGCCCGGCGCTCGTCGCGCCGCTCCGAGCCGCAACGCGCTCAGTCTTGAAGGGCAAACCGCCAAGAGGGCCAAAAACGTCACGGCGATTAGCCATGCCACGTCGACGGCTGGGATTCGTCTACGACAGTAGAATTGTGAGCCTCGCATAATCGAGATCGACGGGTACGGAGTCATGATGGGATTTAGAATATGGCGCGAAAAGTTCTCCAGGTAACAACGCGGCTTCAGCATGCGAGATCAGGCGACGGTAATTCGGAAGAGATGACAGCGAAGGAGGCGAACGGGGAAGAAGAGATCGGGAAAGGCGGTATGAGAGGCGTGAAGCGTGGGGTGAAAGGCCAGATACGAAGATCAGGACTGGACGGGGCGCTGCCGAGGACAGATAGCCAAAAGAGACTCGTGTGACGATCGCCATGGCGGAAATTGAACGATTATAAATAGAAGATTCTGCAGCAACGAGCTTGCTAGTACTTAGGAGCACGATACGGTTAGTGGTTGTGCGTCTGAACGCTATTTGCTGGGTTCCTGAGCGTCTGCACTGCGATTTGACACGCGTAGCTGCGCGATTGGCTGAAATTCACTTGAGAGGGATCGGAGGCTTGATGACTGGCGGTCCTTCCAGCGGTGCGGTGTTTCCTAAGCGGGCTTCTAGATGATCCGATCCGAGTCGAACGACGAAATTAAGAAGACAGGTGCTACAGCGACTAGAGAGGTTGGCGCTGGTCGGTTATTGGCAGCCATTATATTTAACAGACATACAGCACAGCCAGGGCGTGTGTGAGGAGAGCAATACCACCTAGTCGCCGCCTATTTCACGCCCTGAAAAAACTTCGTTAGACACCCTAAACCTTTTTCGCCAAGATCAATGAGACAGCAAGATGATGCTGTCATACGTCGATGCCGCAAAACTCCCACTGTTTGATAGCGCCGCACGGGCTTGACATTTTAGTCGGGGAAGCTTATCGATTATCGTTTGTCATCGATAAGCAGTCCCAAACATTCAACTCCTAAAAAACTCGGGTGATGCTGACGGGTGAAGTATATGTGCCTAGAAATTGCCGGTGACCAGGAGTATCTGGCTTGGAGAAAAGCAGGCGCGGAGGTTGTGTGTTTCGTCAACCGCCGCCACAACTGCTCTGGTTTGGACGGAGATGTTAGGTTCTGGCTGGTGTGAAATATTTATGTCGTGTACACAATCAGCATTTTGCTTGAACCAAACTCGGACACTGCTTAGCTATTATCAAGGATTCGCTCTGACGGGCCGCACAACCTTCCAGAAGTCCATCCAGGCCTGGAGGGGAGTGTGTGCGGCCTTGGTGCTTCGCGCCAACCAACCTGTCAATCGCCCACCAACCAGCAAGATTCCTCTGCGGAGTTGGACGAAGTACAGGGTGCGAAAACGTCAAAAATTCCCCCACACGAGATGAGCTCGCTTCATTTCGCGAAAGCTTCAAGGTCCAACCAAGAACGTCGCACTGCAATCCCAACGGCCTAGCCTTGGTCCTTGGAACTGTCTCCCACTGTGGAGTGTCCCCCTTCCGCCTACACATCCCCCCAATTCCCCATTGGTCCGGGAATTCGCCATGGGTCTCACATCTCAACTCATGCTCCATCATCGCATGCATCCACTTCTTACTTTTGCGTTGTCGAGCTTTTCTGGTTGTTGACTGTGACTTGCCAGTCGAGCAGGAGCTTTAGGCTCCACGCCAAGGCCTTCCGTCCATACAGCTCCGCAGCCTGCAGCGAGAGGCTGGCTGCCTACGCGCACCCTGCCTCGTCGCTCGCTGCATCTGCGGAAGCTTTGACTGGACGGCTGGTCGACGATAAACATTGTCGCTCATGTTGCAATCAGCCGCTTTTCCATTTATCTCCCGTTAATTGCCGCCAATTTCTGTGGTTTCTATCGTCGCGTCTCAAACGTCATGGCGACTGTCGCAGTGACACGTGGCGGGCCTCAAGCCGCAGTAGCTCTAGCGGCCTGCGCGGCGGCCGGTACGGCCTGCCTCGTGTGGGCCCTCCGCGGGCGTTATTTGCAGGGTTTTCTTGGAACAGATCCCGAGAAAGGCGGCGGAAATGACGGGAATGGAGCCAAGGAACGGCAGGGAGTCACGCTGACGTCACTGAACCACTTAATCGCGTTAACGGGTGACAGCTGGCACTCCTCGCTACAGCGGCTCGCGATCGGACAGATGGTCATCGGCGTGAGTAGTGGCAGTAGGACCACCCATTAAGTGTGCTTATGCACGCAGCTCGTGAAGCAATCAACTAGTGCGCACAAGAATGTAACCCGTTATTCGCGTTGGGCCCTAAGAGAGTCGTCGTCGTACGCGTTTAGCAAGCAAGTCGAATCTTTAACGGTGACGGCTCTCGGAATGTTGTCTAGCATAGCATACCCTTGCGACAACCCTTGGAATCTTGTCTTGGAAGATCCCACATTGCAAGCGACAATTCGTCGGCATTGCGTTACTACAATCACGAGCATCAGACGCGCTTCTCGCATCGCATAATCACTGCGCGTGCCCGACAGGCAGTTACGAGTAGCAGCGACGGTTTGCATGTCCGGACACAGATTTCAGGTTGTCCCTCCTTACCCCACATTCTCATCACCGTTTCCCTCCAGTTGAAACTCACCAACGAGCCCAGACTCGCAGCCATCCCCTCGCCGCGTTTTGAGATGTCTCAGAACAAATTTCACGGCGGCCCCCTTTGTCCCACATGTCGCACCACGTTCCCCCTTCCAGTTGAAGCTCACCAGCGAGCCCAGACTCGCAGCCATCCCCTCGCCGCTGCCTGGCTCGCTCGCCATGCTGGCATCTCTGCGTGACGTGGACCTGTCAGCCAATGGGCTTTCGACATTCCCCGACGCCCTGCTGTCCGTTCCGGAGCTCAGGAGACTCAATCTGTCGAGGAACAAATTCACAAGGTGAGAGCTGAGACTTCTAGAAGCTTTTCTGTCGCGTAACCAGCGACACGGGGAGTTTTGAGACATCTCAAGGGAGACGAGGCGTTTTTTTCAGAAGTTTCATGATTTCCTAGTTGTCTCCCTTCCTTCCCGCTCCCTCTCTCCCTTCTCCCTTCCTTCTGTTTCCAACGCGCACAACCGCACAGCCAGCCTTCCTCAAGCCATGAACCAGCCCGCCCAGCTCACTCCACACCCCTAAGCTATCCCTCTCCCCCAATCCCCCTTCCTTCATGTCTCCCCCTCTATACCCGTTTTTCCTCTCTCGTCCCTTTCCCGTTTCCTTCACACCTCCGCCCCCTCCCACCCCACCCCACCCTCTCCCCCCCTTTTTCTCCCCCACCCCAACACGCAGTCTTCCCCAGGAAATACGTCAGCTCTCCCACCTGGAGCACCTGGACCTGGGTCGAAACCACCTGTCAGGTGTGCCTGAGGAGATCGGGCACCTGACGAATCTCCTGACGCTCAACCTGATGTGCAACCAGCTGGAGCGCCTACCTGACAGCATCGGGCGGCTGACGAGGGTGTTCCGCCTGGGGCTCAAAAGCAACAGGCTCAGGTGCGGTTGCGTGGGTGGCGGTTAGGCTAGGTGCTACCTAGAATTCAACAGTTCATCACTTAGCCTCACAGACAACCATTTGATGGCCCCGCCCGAACTCGACAACTTGCTTGCTGTCCTGCTCTCCCTTCCCCTCCATCACCGCCCTGCCACCGTCCATAGGCCGCATGATATCTCTCTGGTAAAGCTCTACCTCAGAATGAACGGCCTCACACCGCCTTGCCCAACATGACAGCCAGCTCTCTGTTCCTCCTGCCTTTCTGTCTCTTCCCGCCCATCAGCGCCCTGCCCTCGTCAATAGGCGGCATGACCTCTCTGGTGGAGCTCTACCTAACAGCTCGCCTCACCAAGTCGCCGCCCTACCCTTCCCCCTTTCCCCCTGGTCCCCATCAGCGCCCTGCCCTCATCACTAGGCGGCATGACCTCACTGGTGGAGCTCTACCTCACAGACAATCGCCTCACCGCCCTGCCTGACTCCATCGGCTGCTGCACCAACCTCGTCAAACTTCAGGTCAGCGTTCCACCCCCGAACCCCAACTTTCAGACTCAGAAACGAGTGCTTACAAAACCTTGCACACAAGAAATGTCACGAAAGTTACTCTTCAATCCCTTTTCTCTCCCGCTGTCTCTGTGCATCGACAGACCTCCTTCAACCATGACCCATGGCAGGGCAGGGCGTGCGTGCAGCAGACTCCATGGGCCATCTCTCGCGCCTCGAGTTGTTGCGCCTCAGTGAGGTGTATTTTGAGGCGCCTCAAAATACACCTCACGTGCAGACTCCATGACTCCATGGGCCATCTCTCCAGCCTCGAGTTGCTGCGTTGCGCCTCACTCACATGCACGCCCTCACGCCCCCCCTCACCCTGCTCCTCCCTCGCCCCCCCGCTCTCCCTCGCTCTAGCACTTGCCCTTACCTGCTCTCCCTCTTCTCACCCTCCCCCTCCCTCGCCAGGCATCCTTCAACCAGCTCTACGCCCTGCCAGACTCCATCGGTCGTCTCTCACGCCTCGAGCTGCTCCGCCTCGCAGCCAACAACCTGCACGCGCTGCCCTCCTCCCTCGCGCTGCTGCCCCGCCTGGCGTGGCTGTCGCTCGCCAGCAACCCCCTCTGCCCGCCGCTACCGCCACACCATCAGGGCGTGGAGGACATTCCCTTTGGGGAGCTGCAGCTGGGGAGGAAGCTGGGGGACGGCGCCAGTGGTGAGTGCCATGCCTCCTTCCTCCACGCCCTGCCCCTCTCTCTCCCTCACCGCCGCACCACCAGGGCGTGGAGGACATCCCCTTTGGGGACCTGCAGCTGGGGAGGAAACTGGGCGATGGAGCTAGTGGTGAGTGAGTGACTTGCCTCTCCGAGTGTAGCAACCGCCGCCGCACCACCAGGGGGTGGCAGATATTCCATTTGGGGAGCTGCAGCTGGGGAGGAAGCTGGGCGACGGTGCAAGTGGTGAGTGCCTTGCCTCCAAGTGTGTGTGTGTGTATAGCCGTGTGTGTATTTACCCCCTTGCAAGGGGAGAAGACACATTACAATGCCGCAGAGGTGCTGGTCAGGTCAAGCGGTGGGAGCTGTATCTCGATACCCCCTTCACTTCACTTCACCCCCCTGATCTCAACCCCCTCCCTTCACCCTTAACTCACCCTCCTCCCTTCACTCTCATCCCACATGCCACCAGGCGACGTGTATGCAGCGGTGTGGCACGGGCACGAGGTGGTGTTCAAGCAGTGCAACCACGACACCAGCGCCCGCAGGTCACTCCCTCCATCTCTCCACTCCCTTTTCCCCTCTTCTCTGCTTCCCACACCAGGCGACGTGTATGCAGCAGTGTGGCACGGGCACGAGGTGGTGTTCAAGCAGTTCAACAGCGAGACCAGCCCCGACGGGCGGGCAGTAGACGAGATCGCCATGACTGCTGCTGTCGACCACCCCCACCTCGTGCAGGTGCTGCCTGGGGGGGGTGCTGTCTGGGGTGGGTTCTGCATCGGGGGGTGCTGCCTCGGATCGGAGGGAGAGGGGGGGGGGGACAGGTACTTCCGGGGGAATGGACAGGCAATGGATGAGATTGCCATGACTGCTGCTGCACCCTCATCTCACCCCCATGACTGCCGCTGCACCCTCATCTCACCCCCATGACTGCTGCTGCAAAAGCAAAAGCTGGTGCCTTGCTTTGGTCCACGTCCACCCTTCGCTTCCAACTTCCTCTTTCCCCATCTGTCCTCCCCCCTTTAGTCCCGCCTGCTCCCGTCACCCCTGCCTGTCAGGTGGAAGCAACGGGGGAGCAGCCCCACGGGCTGGTCATGCGGCGAGCTCTGCTCCACACAGCCTTTCCCCCAACCCTACTCACTCCCCACTTCATCCCCCTTGTGTGCCTCTCCCTTCCTCTCCCCACCCCTGCATGGCAGGTGGAGGCAACAGTGGAGCACCCGCATGGGCTGGTCATGCGGCGTGTGTTTGGCAGGTGGGTGCAGGGGAAGGTGGGTGCAGGGGAAGGTGGGTGCAGGGGAAGGTGGGTGCAGGGGAAGGTGGGTGCAGGGGAAGGTGGGTGCAGGGGAAGGTGGGTGCAGGGGAAGGTGGGTGCAGGGGAAGGTGGGTGCAGGGGAAGGTGGGTGCAGGGGAAGGTGGGTGCAGGGGAAGGTGGGTGCAGGGGAAGGTGGGTGCAGGGGAAGGTGGGTGCAGGGGAAGGTGGGTGCAGGGGAAGGTGGGTGCAGGGGAAGGTGGGTGCAGGGGAAGGTGGGTGCAGGGGAAGGTGGGTGCAGGGGAAGGTGGGTGCAGGGGAAGGTGGGTGCAGGGGAAGGTGGGTGCAGGGGAAGGTGGGTGCAGGGGAAGGTGGGTGCAGGGGAAGGTGGGTGCAGGGGAAGGTGGGTGCAGGGGAAGGTGGGTGCAGGGGAAGGTGGGTGCAGGGGAAGGTGGGTGCAGGGGAAGGTGGGTGCAGGGGAAGGTGGGTGCAGGGGAAGGTGGGTGCAGGGGAAGGTGGGTGCAGGGGAAGGTGGGTGCAGGGGAAGGTGGGTGCAGGGGAAGGTGGGTGCAGGGGAAGGTGGGTGCAGGGGAAGGTGGGTGCAGGGGAAGGTGGGTGCAGGGGAAGGTGGGTGCAGGGGAAGGTGGGTGCAGGGGAAGGTGGGTGCAGGGGAAGGTGGGTGCAGGGGAAGGTGGGTGCAGGGGAAGGTGGGTGCAGGGGAAGGTGGGTGCAGGGGAAGGTGGGTGCAGGGGAAGGTGGGTGCAGGGGAAGGTGGGTGCAGGGGAAGGTGGGTGCAGGGGAAGGTGGGTGCAGGGGAAGGTGGGTGCAGGGGAAGGTGGGTGCAGGGGAAGGTGGGTGCAGGGGAAGGTGGGTGCAGGGGAAGGTGGGTGCAGGGGAAGGTGGGTGCAGGGGAAGGTGGGTGCAGGGGAAGGTGGGTGCAGGGGAAGGTGGGTGCAGGGGAAGGTGGGTGCAGGGGAAGGTGGGTGCAGGGGAAGGTGGGTGCAGGGGAAGGTGGGTGCAGGGGAAGGTGGGTGCAGGGGAAGGTGGGTGCAGGGAAGGTGGGTGCAGGGGAAGGTGGGTGCAGGGGAAGGTGGGTGCAGGGGAAGGTGGGTGCAGGGGAAGGTGGGTGCAGGGGAAGGTGGGTGCAGGGGAAGGTGGGTGCAGGGGAAGGTGGGTGCAGGGGAAGGTGGGTGCAGGGGAAGGTGGGTGCAGGGGAAGGTGGGTGCAGGGGAAGGTGGGTGCAGGGGAAGGTGGGTGCAGGGGAAGGTGGGTGCAGGGGAAGGTGGGTGCAGGGGAAGGTGGGTGCAGGGGAAGGTGGGTGCAGGGGAAGGTGGGTGCAGGGGAAGGTGGGTGCAGGGGAAGGTGGGTGCAGGGGAAGGTGGGTGCAGGGGAAGGTGGGTGCAGGGGAAGGTGGGTGCAGGGGAAGGTGGGTGCAGGGGAAGGTGGGTGCAGGGAGGTGGTGCAGGGAAGGTGGGTGCAGGGGAAGGTGGGTGCAGGGGAAGGTGGGTGCAGGGGAAGGTGGGTGCAGGGGAAGGTGGGTGCAGGGGAAGGTGGGTGCAGGGGAAGGTGGGTGCAGGGGAAGGTGGGTGCAGGGGAAGGTGGGTGCAGGGGAAGGTGGGTGCAGGGGAAGGTGGGTGCAGGGGAAGGTGGGTGCAGGGGAAGGTGGGTGCAGGGGAAGGTGGGTGCAGGGGAAGGTGGGTGCAGGGGAAGGTGGGTGCAGGGGAAGGTGGGTGCAGGGGAAGGTGGGTGCAGGGGAAGGTGGGTGCAGGGGAAGGTGGGTGCAGGGGAAGGTGGGTGCAGGGGAAGGTGGGTGCAGGGGAAGGTGGGTGCAGGGGAAGGTGGGTGCAGGGGAAGGTGGGTGCAGGGGAAGGTGGGTGCAGGGGAAGGTGGGTGCAGGGGAAGGTGGGTGCAGGGGAAGGTGGGTGCAGGGGAAGGTGGGTGCAGGGGAAGGTGGGTGCAGGGGAAGGTGGGTGCAGGGGAAGGTGGGTGCAGGGGAAGGTGGGTGCAGGGGAAGGTGGGTGCAGGGGAAGGTGGGTGCAGGGGAAGGTGGGTGCAGGGGAAGGTGGGTGCAGGGGAAGGTGGGTGCAGGGGAAGGTGGGTGCAGGGGAAGGTGGGTGCAGGGGAAGGTGGGTGCAGGGGAAGGTGGGTGCAGGGGAAGGTGGGTGCAGGGGAAGGTGGGTGCAGGGGAAGGTGGGTGCAGGGGAAGGTGGGTGCAGGGGAAGGTGGGTGCAGGGGAGGTGGGTGCAGGGGGAGGTGGGTGCAGGGGAAGGTGGGTGCAGGGGAAGGTGGGTGCAGGGGAAGGTGGGTGCAGGGGAAGGTGGGTGCAGGGGAAGGTGGGTGCAGGGGAAGGTGGGTGCAGGGGAAGGTGGGTGCAGGGGAAGGTGGGTGCAGGGGAAGGTGGGTGCAGGGGAAGGTGGGTGCAGGGGAAGGTGGGTGCAGGGGGAGGTGGGTGCAGGGGAAGGTGGGTGCAGGGGGAGGTGGGTGCAGGGGAAGGTGGGTGCAGGGGAAGGTGGGTGCAGGGGGAGGTGGGTGCAGGGGGAAGGTGGGTGCAGGGGAAGGTGGGTGCAGGGGAAGGTGGGTGCAGGGGAAGGTGGGTGCAGGGGAAGGTGGGTGCAGGGGGAGGTGGGTGCAGGGGGAGGTGGGTGCAGGGGAAGGTGGGTGCAGGGGGAGGTGGGTGCAGGGGAAGGTGGGTGCAGGGGAAGGTGGGTGCAGGGGAAGGAGGGTGCAGGATCGGATGTCTCAGGGGCAACGGGACCCCCTGCGATCATGCATGTTCCCCTGCAGATTCTGTCCCACTCGCAAGTTCCCTCGCTACTTGCATCGCTACTTCCCTCGTTACTTATTCCACTCATCTCGTTTTCCTTTCCCCCCTCCATGTTGAGCTTACTCACCTTGGTAGTGCTCCCTCGTTTTCCGCTCAACTTCATGCTTTCTCCCGCAGGGCCATGGCGGACCCACCCAACGGTGACTCGCTGCTGCGCTGCCGCTGGCCCCCATCCGCCTGCTACTCGCTTGCCACTGTGGTGGCTGTGGGGAGGGGGCTCGCATCGGCGTTGGAGTGGATGCATGCGCGGGGGTGGGCGCATGGGGACGTGTATGCACACAACGTGCTGGTGGATGATAAGGGGTTCGCTATCCTTTGTGACTATGGTGAGTTGTGCCTATGATGTGCTGTGAGTATGATGAGTTGTGGCTGTGGTTAGGGTGCTGGCGTCGATGCATGCACGGGGGTGGGCGCATGGAGAAAAATATGCTCACAACGTGCTTGTGGACGATAGGGGTTCGCTGTGCTGTGTGACTATGGTGAGTTGTTGTGACTATTGGGAGATGTGGCAGTAGCAGTAGCAGTGGGCGCATGGGGATGTGTATGCGCACAACAAGCTTGTGGATGAGAAGTTTTCGCTGTGCTGTGTGACTATGGTGAGGTGTGGGTGGGGTGCAATGTGGCAGTAGCAGTAGCTGTGGAAAAAGGGCTGGCATGGGCGCATCGGGACGGGTATGCTCACAACGGGCTTGTGGACGATAAGGGGTTCGCTGTCCTGTGTGACTATGGTGAGTTTTGATTATGGTGTGGTGTGAGTGTGGTGAGTTGTGATAGAAGCAGTGGCCATGCGGAAGGGGCTGGTGTTGATCCATGTTCGGGGGTGGGCTCATGGGGTCATGCATGCTTCCTGGCAACATATGAGGCGCTTAAAAGACAAACACCTCCCCTACCTTCCCTACCCTCCAATGAATCACATGTGCAGGTGCATCCTTCCCCTACCCTCGCCACAGTGCCATCCCATTTGAGTCACACGAGGTAAGGGCACTCGCCCTGTTGCTCCAAGGCCTCTGCACGCGCCTCTCAGCCCCCGAAACCACAGCAGAGCTTCAGAGCCGAGAGCAGCTTGGGCGGCTGATTGAGGCGTGTGTGGGAGGGACTGCAAAGGAGCGACCGAGTTTGAAGGATGTTGGAGAGCAGCTGGCCATGATTTCCAGGAGCCATGTGTGAGACTCAAAGGGTGATGGTCAGTTAGATTGCCAGGATCAGGAGCAGCTGGGGCAACTGATTGAGGCGTGCGTGGGAGGGACTAAGGAGAGACTGGGTTTGAAGGACGTTGGTGAGCAGCTGGCTGCTATTTCCAGGAGCCATGTTTGAGGTTTGACGGGTTGCGTTTCGGGAGGTTTGACCAATTGAAATTGCCTAGATGAGGAACCTGGAAAGCATTTCCTCCTGGAGAGTGTGGTTTGCATTTAATAACAGCAGCTGAGAGGGGTTCATTCCTTTATTTGTTCGGATGCTATTAGCACTTCTGTCCATGGACCATGACTTACTTTTATTACACAAGTTACTAACATATACAAATAAAGGCAACGGGGAAAAATGGAGATGCAGTGTAGGTTCTTTAGGCATACATGGCCTCACTCCCGCATCCGCGATAGAACAGCTGCGAGTGGTGTCGCTCGTGGCTGAAAACAAACACATCCTCTCCCGCCCCATGCGACGACGCATGCCTTGGGACTACCCTCACGCCAGTCGCATACGCATCTTCGTTACAAGCATACACCCTTGAATCCGCGTGTACACTTACCGAGTACTCGGGTAATTTATTCCAGCGAGAGAGAATCTGCGTGTCCGTGTGCATCACCGATCTGTCGTGATGATTATTCCAAGCCTCCTCCTCTTGATGCTGTCCGATAATGTCGCCGCAACTCTCGCTGTTCTTATTGATCTTCCGACCGGTGTTAGCCTTTCGCGATTTGAAACTCCATCCCTTTAGCAGAGGAAGCTTGTCCAGTAACGGCTGCTTGGACGATGCTCGCCGGGCCACTGTGGTTGGCTGTGCTAAAGAATCCAGAGATCGTCTTTCGCGAAGATTGCCGTTGGAGGAATGGGGAGATTGCTGCTGGTTGTTGGGTGAGCGATTGTCGGTCATATCCTCAAACGCGTCGAGCTGTAGGTCGTGAGGGGGAGGGGAAGGGAAGGGAACGACGACGCGAAGACATGTTAGGGTCTGTGTGACAAGATGAGAGGATAAAAGCTCGGAGGTGGAAAAAGAACATGGAACAGGAGGGGGAGGGGAAATTATGTCAAAACTAACCTCTTGGAGAATAGGGTTCGCGGGTCGGCGAGTGTCAGACGTGCAAGTGGTTTGCAATGCGTCGATGCTCCCCATGCCCTCCATTTCCTGCCACGTCGGAAGCCGCGCGCCGCCGTCACCATTATAGTGACTATAACGATACGGAATCGGAGTCGCGCCGTCGCTGAGGGTAGAAAGCGCGGGAGAGTAGGGAGACAGCGGCGAAAGCGGCGAAATTGGACCGTAGGATCCGAGTGATTTCTTCCCGTCGTAGTTCCCGGAGTTGGGGACTAATCCGTCTGTTCTCTCATCTGATTGAACCTCGGACCTCCAGTCGGCAGGACCCAATCCGTAGTCCATATGCGGAGCGGTAAATCGATCCTGCTTGGATCCAGTGTTACTTATGTGATCCGGACGCGCGAGTGACGTCACGCCGTTGGACGGTAACGTCAGCGACTTCTGCAGCGTCCTAGACCCGGGAAACTGGCGATCCGAGCACGCGCACCGCCTCGCGAAATACCACTCCTGCTCCCACGAAGCTCCCACGTGCTCGTGGTTCTCAAAATGAACCCCTTCTCTTCCACAAGCGGCACTCCCTCCTTCCACTCCTTGGGAGGGGAGCTGCGCGATTGACCGTGATGGCACGCCAGCGGAATCCTGCCTCCCGACAAAGGAGGAGAATAAGGCGATAGCGTCGAATGCGGAGAAACCGGGCTGAAAGCTCCAAGAGGTCGCGGCGATCTCGTGCTTCTCGGGTCGTCGTGGCCCGTTCCCTGCGGAGGGCTTGTAGACGTCGCTTCGGAAGCATGATGGGGAGTGCGTGACGCAGGGAGGCTGGTGCTGGGCAGGGTTTGCGACTTGCGGAACAAGCTCGGCGACTGCGACGACGACGGCGACGTTAGCGACGAAAGTTCCACCTCGATTCTCGCCGCCGATCGCGGACGGTGCGTGTCGGCGACGAGGTAATACGTTCGGCCGGATTTGAGGGGCGTGGCGGGTGGCAAGGGAGTGCGCGGCGTGGCGGTACTGAGGGTGGAGAGGAGCAGGTGGCGGGGGAAGTCGGCGAGCACTATCGACGCCGTGAGACGCGCGTCGTCGTAGAGGCGCGCCGAGCCGTCGGGCAGCAGCACGACGACGCACGGGGACGCGGTGACTTCGAGGTACGGCTCGTTGGACGGAGGTTGTGCCATTGCTCGGAGTAACGAGCGCGGATGCAGGAGCACTAACTCGTGTTCTCCGATTTGGAGAAAGAACTGAATAATGATTATTGAACCAAGAAAGGATGGTGTTAAAAAGGTGTGCGGGGCTTCAAAAGAAGCTCCCGTTGGCTTGATGAATCGCTCCTGTTGGCGGAAAAGAAGTTTTGTTGCTGACAGCACGCCACGACGACACGACGGAACGTCGTGACGTGATTGGACGAAAATAAGTTCAAGACGATATGATTCAAAGCTCGCGTCGCTGTGCTACTAGATCGCAAGCGGGATTCATTGAGTATGGACCCCATGATTTGAAGGGGCACGCAACGATTCGAGCCGGGTCGCCTAAAAACAGACAGTGGAAGCAGCAGACACTCACCCGACCTCTACCTTACGCGACAGCGCTCTATTTGGCTCCTAGTTCTAGTCTACCCGAGGGAATTTTACAAGTCTTGTTGTCAGGTTCGCTACTTGGCAGTCCGCTTAGTGGATCGTCTGCTTGTCTTGTTTTGAGATGTGATGGGATGTGAAGGAATGGATTATGGGAGGGGCGCCCCACACATTGGTCTTTTTGTCGCTAAGCGTTTTTGGCGACTGTCGCAAACAGTTTATGCGAAACACTCTCAGGTACAATGTGGTCTTGTTGTCGCCAAGCGAAAAAGGTCACACCGTCGCGTAGCAACCATGCACCCTGAATGTCGCCAAGGTCGCCAAGGGCAGAGTGTTCGTTGAACGAAACTCGTCAATGGTAACTTTGCGTGGTGAGTGGCAAGAGGGAAACGGGCATGGTCTACACATTATCTTTCGACAAGGTTGAAATAATGCTATGGTGTTACGTGTGCAATTGAGTGAGCGAGCGAGAATTGCACTATCGAAGCAAGAGTACAATGAGCGAAGGCATGAGCGAAGAATATATAGCGAAACTACAGTGGTAACGGTAATGCGTGGAAATTGGGGTGCGCGACGGGCCTGGCGCCGAGGTTGGGAATTGTCGAGGCGGAGGTCCGGAGCGCGGGTTACCAACCGAACCGTGAGGTTGGGTCGCGTCGTGAACAGTGGCGGGAATAGTGTCGAGGTGAGTGTCGCGAGTGGTAACGGATTACTGTTGGGTGCTGTTGGCGGGAATAGTGGTGTACGCGCTGAGCAGGGACGCGAAGTAAGGAAAAGGAATTTTCCTTACACTACCCCCCTCCCCAAGGAGGCCCCTCTTACGAGAGCGCGTGTACATCTCGGAAGTTTCGGCTTCGCAGGTACTCAGTGAGGACAGGGTGGTTCTCAATTCTATCCACGGGGACCCAGTTGTCTTCGGTAGGCGTGCGGTCCTTCCAGCGGATCAGGAATTCGATTCTGCGGGCTCCCCGTGGGTCACGTACTCGATGGCTCAGTATTTTCTCAGGCGTGATGACTGGCTCAGTCGGTGGTCGTGTCATGCTGGCGGGGCGGTTGCGAGGTAGTTGGCTGGTGGATGGCACGTATGGGCGGAGCAGGCTGACGTGGAATGACGGGCTGACGTACCAGTCAGCAGGGAGGAGGAGGTGGGCGGTGACGGGTGTGATCATGTGGCTGATGCGAAATGGCCCGCAATATCGGGGGCGGAGTTTTGGGGTGATGGGCAGGCGGAGGTTTTGAGTGTCGAGTAAGACCAGGTCGTCGGGTTGGTAAGTGACGGGGCGGCGGTGTTGGTCGGCGTTGCGCTTAGCGATGATGTTTGATTTTTTTATTGCTTCTGCTGCTCGGGTCCGTGCTGCTTGTAAAATTTCTGCGAACTGTTGTGCGCGTGGGACTGGGTTGTCGGGATTCGGGGTCATGGGTACTGTGGGGTCTTGTCCGTAGTTTAGGTAAAACGGTGACTGTTGGGTCGTGGCAGATGGCGAGTTGTTGTATGCGAATTCGATGAGTGGCAGTTGCTGTTCCCATGTGTTCGGGTCGTCGCACGTGGCCCGAATGAGCTGTTCCATGGTCTGATTTGTCCGTTCTGTCTGTCCGTCGGTTTCGGGGTGGTATGATGAACTAAACTGTAGTCGCTTGCCGAACTGCTGCCACAGGTTCCGCCAGAAGTTGCTGGTGAATTTCGTGTCTCTGTCGCTGATGATCGATGCTGGTATCCCGTGCAGTCGAACGACGGTAGAGATGAAGAGGCGGGCTGTTTCTTCGGCTGTGATTGACTTTTTGCAGACTGCGAAGTGTGCCATTTTCGTCAGTCGATCGACGACGACCAGGATCGCGTCATTCCCACTCGCTTCGGCCGGTAACCCCGTGACGAAGTTCATCGTCACCTGCTGCCAAGCACGCTCTGGGGGTGGTATCGGCTGCAACTGTCCTGCCGGCCGCTTCCGTGATGACTTCATGATCTGGCAAGTGGGACACGATGCCACGTGTCGTTGAACGTCGATCAACATTTCGGGCCAATAATAATACCGCTGCAGCTGCTGCCGTGTTTTCTCTACTCCGAAATGTCCCGAGGTAACTCCGTCGTGTGCCTCCTGTAACAGTAATTCCCGTAGTAGTGTGTACCCTGGTACCCAGATGCGGTCGGTCCCGGCTTTTACGTAATAGACTCCCTTGGCTGCTGCGAACTGCTGCGAATTTCCTCCTGTGAAGAATGGGTCCGTTTGATACCCGTGGGTAAATAGTCCTGTCAGTAGCGGGCTGGTCTGGGCGAGTAGTATCGCGTGGATTTGGGCAGTGGGGCGGGTCAGTGCGTCAGCTATGTTGGATGCTCCCTTTTTGTAGGT